AATTCCCAAGAAGCGTTACAGAGTCACACATAACCCCTCGTCTCACTCCCCAATCTCATCAAAGTAAGTAAACAAACTCACGTCAACCTGCGCGGAGAAATAGCAGTCAACATAGCCTTCGACACAGATACCTATGGCTCACCACCCATTACCAACTTGTCAAAGTCCGCGCCTAAAACTCGAATGCGAGATCCTGCAGGCCGTAATCGCAAGTTTCTCTGATGGGCCGCCAAGTCCAGGTACTCTACCTCATAAGCTCACTCATCAACAATGTTTAAACCCCCGCAGTCGGTTTACATATCGAGTGACAGCTCAACCCCAACCCACACGCCTACCTATTCACAACACCACTCCGGCCGGACGGAGGGATCATGCCTAGACCACCGATGTCTCTCATTGAGGCGCGGCTAATGATATATCACTGCTAAAATACCCAGTGTTATGACTTGTCATAAAACTTACACGTCTCTTCTAGAGGCCATCTCGGGTCGACGGAGCTCAAGGTATCTCACTCATAAGACTCATCAGCCAAGTGCAACATCGACTTCTAGCCTCAAGGGTATCTGGTTTTTTCATTGCCGCCTTGCCGCCCCCTCGCGCAAACCATGTGTATGCGCTTGCTTCCTCTACTCATACAAAAGATTCCTTGCTAGGCCGTCGCAATGCCTTCCATGATGCGAGTTGCCTGTTGTATAAACGTTCCGAGACTCCTGGGAGGAAGAAGTAGAAACAGCCCGACCTCGTAAAACCCCGTCTCCAAATCGGGGGTTTCTCTATCACCAAGCCTCTATGCGGTTCGTCTTCGCTTTTTTGTCCCGCTGTCTAGTCAATGAAGAAGAAACACAAGAAAAATTGGCCAGACACTCTTCTCTCATTCCCGCTTCGTTCGCTCGTCCTGGACTGCCACTATCTCAAAAATCGTCGTCAGGGGTGTTGGTCGTCCGCTTCTCTAAAATGCCCTTTTGAGGGGCGTCGTGGCCAACCCCGTCGACCTTCCAACGCCGCACCAGCAGCTGCCGTCGCCCTCTCTTTCGACTTGGATCACAATGTCCATGGAGTTCTTCAAGAGATACTCCCGCACGCGATCCCGCACTTCGTCCAGGCTCGCACCCCTCGCCGCCACAACGTGCACGATACCCTGCAGCTTGTCTCCCGAGTCCTCGCTGCTCCGGTGGTCCATCCAGAACTTGGGCATCGAGTAGTTGACGACGCCCTTTTGCTGCAAAATCCCCGCGAGCGTGTTACGCAGGTTGTACTCAATGTCGTCGGGGATGTTGAGAAGTAGGTTGCGCGCAGACGACTTGATGAGCGGGATCGACGCGAGGAAGATGAGAATCGCAATGGCACAAGAGGCCAAGGGATCCCAGAACGTCCAGCCCGTGTAGTACGTCAAAATTGTCGACAGCACCACTGAGGCGCTTCCCATCGTATCGGCCAGAACATGCAGAAAAATACCCTCCATGTTGTCGTTATGATGCGAGTGCCCGTGGCTATGCTTCTTTCCGTGCGAGTGATCATGCCCGTGGTCATGGTCATCGTGTGAATGCGAATGGCCGTGGCCGTGGTGGTGGTGCCCGAAGCCCCATAGACCCAAGAGGTTGATAACGCCGCCGAGGAAGCTGACAATGAGAAGTTCCCTCAGTCGGTGAAGTTCTTGACCTTCCCAGATTCGCTCAAATGCCTCTACAATAATCTCAACGCTCAGAAGCCTGTCACTTGTTAGCGCCGTGCATCGTGCTGCAGGCCGGAAAAACCTACATCAGCAAGATGCCGTTGGCAAAACCACTCAGCGTCTCGATCTTTCCAAGCCCAAAGGGAAATCGTTGGCTCTGAGGCCACTTGCTAGTAACCGCGGCGCAAAGACCGACGAAGAGGGCAAAACAGTCGAAAAACATGTGGATCGTGTCGCTGAGGAGCCCGAGCGAGTCGGTAACGTAGCCGTAGAATGCTTGTACGGCCATGAAGCCAAAGTTGAGCCTAGGAAATTACAGAACGTCAGTGATACTCGAGATTGACCATCCTACGAGCCAACTCACGTCATGAAGTAAAAGATTCTCCTCGAGTCCTTCTCCACAATGATGGTGTGGAGAAACGGGACTGCCGGCGTGTATTTGAGAAGAGCCCTCGTAAATAGGGAAGGCTTCGCATGATCGTGGGAGTGGCTGTGGCTGTGGCTGTGGGCGTGTGAATGGCCGTGATGGTCGTGACTATGGCAATCGCCATGAGCGTGGTCGTGGTCGTGCGAGTGTGAATGATCGTGTTCATGATGATCGTGGGAATGCTCGTCTATCGTCATCGCGCCGTCGAGAGGTTGGAATGTTTCCGAAAAGGACCCGTTTGTAGGCGTCAACAATTGACGACCACTTGGTGTGATGTCCGTCTTCCAGCCGTCCATTGAAGCGAGAGAGCGAGGCGCCGCTCTTTCTCGAGGAATGGACGACTGGCTCGAGTTCGCCCGGTGATGTGAGTGGCCGCCGTGGGCGTGGCCATTGTGACCATGTGAGTGATCGTGGTTATGTGCGTGGCTGCTGCCGGCCGAGTCTTGGCTCTGGCTGTGGGAGTGCAGCCCGCCGGTAGACATTGTTGACTTCAATGCGTGAAGGGACGGCGGCGAGTGGGGGTGGGCGTGTATGTGGTGATGGTGGGCGTGCGGTAGAGCGGAGGATGGCAAGGCGTAGGACGAGGCCATGTTGACCGCGGCGCGTTGTCGGGGTCGGTCGTCGGTCGGTCTGGGACCCAGGACTGGGATCGGTGTCGGTGTCGGTATCGGCGGGGGTGGGCGAGAAATAGGGCCTCTGTATTGTCCCCTCTGTCGTATTTTCGTTGGGTCGTTTTCGTTCGCCTCTCCACCAAGGGCCCGTTGCGTCGGGATCTATTCCAAGATGCCCCTATCTTGGGTTAACCTGAGTCATGGGCCGGAGGTTATCCGCTTTCGCTAGTTTTTCTGGGGTTTGTCGAAGACGGTTCGATAGCAGGTACGAGATTTCGAAAAGTGATGCAATTGAGGTGCCGTGAGACGTCCAGAACCGTGGAGCTGGAAGGTGATGAGGCGAGAGTCATGTGTTCGGGCCAGTGTACCTTGAGAAGACCTGGAGCTGGTAGTGGCAGCGATTGTGGTGGTGGTGGTGGTGGTGGTTCAGGGGACCTGCACAGGCTAAAAAGGCCGGAATGGAGTCGCCCCGTCAATGACGTTGCGCGCCGCAGTCCAACGCTGAGCGCTGGAGGGGGACGGGAGATTTGATCGTCGACGGACGTGCCGGCGCGTCGCACAGACAGTGCTGGAAGCGGCGAGAGCAGATACGGATGGATTGGTTCGCTTGTGCCGTCAACGCTTGAGACTTGGGAGATCCAAGATGAAAGAAAACCAAGTGTGGCTGAAAGGGGAGCGGGGAGGGGAGCAAAGAGTTCAAAGCAGAGGGGAGGAAGAAGAGGAACAATAAGAGTGTCCTCCTCGACGCTACCTTCCAGAGTTAATCAAGCCTCTCCACTTGTAAGGTATGCGTACGGCAAGGTCGTCAAAAGGCGGGATGGGCCAGTAGCAGCATGGATGATGGAGCGTTGTTGTTGTTGTTGTTTTTTGGGCTGAACCCTCGGGACGCATGGCATGTCGGGTGGTGCCTCCTTTCAGTCTTTCAGATGAATCTCGCACCGCTGCCACTGGATCTGAACCTAAAGGGGAATCCAGCCGTCAACCCCTGCAGATTTCTCCGTGTGGGGAGAGGCCGGGTGCCGGGTACGTAAGGTGCAGGTCGACGAGGACGAGGGCGGTCGTCTCTGTGATTCGCTGAGTGACACATCAAAGATGCCATCGGTGGGTGTCCAATTGTCCATCAGGAGGGGGGCATGGCAGTGGCCCGCGGGCTGCTAGGAACTGGCTGCATAAATCTGCCCGGGTACGGATCAGCAACAGCAAGACAATGCGACACCCCCGATCCTGGGCGGATAATCTCTGATGGGAAAGTCGCGGGTAAGGCGGTGAGGTGGCTAACATTTGCTATCCAAAAGGTATCCATCCAGCATTGCTAGCGGCCAGCCCCCGTTGCGACATGTTTTCTGGGCCAAACCAATGCCTGTGAGAGGAGTTCAGATGTCGCCGGGTGACAGGCATGATGGTCTTTTCTTCTCTCTTCGTGTGCTGAGGCTGATGTGGTCTGTGTCGGTTTTGCATGTGCAGCAGCTGGTTTTCCATTAATTGGGTGGCGAAAAGTCTGGTTCGGAGATTTCTAATTTAGACAATTGGTGAATCGTGATCCAGGCCCACGCAGGGGATACGGGAGCTGCAGGTTGATGAAGCTCTGCCTCACCTCACCACCTTATTTCATGATGTTCACATAGGTACGGAGTACGTATGTTTGGTACCTGAGGGTTTTATTGATGCTCAAAGGTACGTATCCTGGCAGATGGAAAATACGTACTGCGACTGCTTCAGGACACGTGACAAAGCGTGACGGCCATCTTATCAGGTTATCGTGTTTATCAAATCATGCATCGCCCACATCGGCCCCTCATTGGCGCCACCGTTGCAACATCCCCAAAGGCCTGCCCAAGTTGGAAGGCGCCAACGAGCACAAAGTCTTGGAAGGTGAGCGAGTCTAGCCCAGTCAAGAAGCTTCGTAGGCCTCTCGCGATTCGAACGTCTTCCCCAGGAGGCCATCGTCAGGTCACGCAAGTCTGGGCAATTTGGCCTCTTTGCTACCTACCAAAAACACATCAACATCGTGTCCCCCTCATCAAGGATACTCACGGATACTCCCCCACCGCTCAGCCTTTAACTCGGACCCCTCCATGCGCACATGCGCTAAGGCAATTCATTTCAACTTCAGATGGCAGGACGGGACACTTTGCATAAGCGATACCACCACATCTGAGGCTTTGACGATCCGTTGCGAAACTCCACCCCATTTCTCACCTCAACCACTCACAACAACAGGGACAAAGATTCACTTTGGCCCTTCCCAACACCCTGCCACGTTTGTGCTGGATTGTCGCACATCGACATCATGTCGTTGATACCTCTTGTGTTATCCATCATTGCCGGCGTCTGCACCACTCTTGTCGCAGCCCTCGGCATCAACTTTCTCACAAAGCTGCTACCTACCCGCTACCATGCGGCTGAGAACCCCAAAGATGACCACATCCAGATATTGGTTCTCGGCGATATAGGCCGTAGCCCTCGCATGCAGTATCATGCGATGAGCATCATGAAGCACGGTGGGAGGGTAGACCTTGTTGGCTACAAGGAGACTGCTCGCCATCCCGATCTTGTTGGCAACGAGAGAGTGGCTCTATACCCATTGCCGCCTCTTCCCACTGTCTTCAAATGGAATACCCTGCCATTCCTCATCAACAAGCCGGCCAAAGTTGTCTGGCAAGCCTACTCAATCTTCTACGTTCTGGCGTACACCGCACCTCCGGCTCGATGGATTGTCATTCAGGTGAGTGAGCCGTGACTTCATGGAGCCCACGATCTGATTGTTCGCAGAACCCCCCTTCTATCCCGACACTGCACTTGGCTTTGCTAGTGTCTATTCTGCGAGGAAGCCACCTGCTCATTGACTGGCACAACTATGGCTGGTCCATCATGGCTACTGGCCGCAGCCAGAAGAACCCACTCGTATGGCTCTACAAGAAGTATGAGATGTACTTTGGCAGGGTGGTCCCCACGGCCAACCTCACCGTCACCGATGCCATGGCGCGGCAGCTCAAGGAGAAGCCGTATAGCAACAAGAAACCTATCTTCACCCTGCACGACCGGCCCGCCGAAGTGTTCCAGCCCATCGCATCGACCAAAGCCCGGCAAGAATTTCTCTCGCAACTCAAGGAGACCAAGGATGTCGCCGATAGCATCATCGCCGGCACCACTCGCCTCATTGTCAGTAGCACCTCATGGACCCCCGACGAAGACTTTGGTCTGCTGCTGGACGCCTTGGTGGCCTACGCACACCCCGAAGAGGCTGTCACAGCGAACGGCGTCGGTCGGCCTCCGATCCTGGCTATCATCACCGGCAAAGGTCCCCAAAAGGCCGAGTATGAGGAAAAGATCAAGAATCTCCGCCTGGAAGGCAAGCTCCCTGGCATCACTATCCTGACCGCATGGTTATCAACCCGCGAGTACGCCACGCTGCTCTCATGCGCCGATCTTGGTGTCTGCCTCCACAAGTCCAGCTCCGGTGTCGACTTGCCCATGAAGGTCGTTGACATGTTCGGTTCGGGACTTCCTGTGGCTGCGTACTCTGCATACGAAAGCTTCAGCGAGCTGATCAAGGAGGGTGAGAACGGATGCGGATTTGAGACGGCCACTGAGCTGGCTGAGGTCTTGATCAGGCTGCTCAGCGAGAGCGGCAAGGACGAGTTGAAGACTTTGAAGTCGGGGGCTATCAAGGAGGGAAGCTTACGCTGGGATGAGGAATGGGATCGCGTCGTTGGGCGGATCGTGGGTGTAATTGATAGCTGAGGTGAAAGACAATCAGTTCGTAATGAGACAAATTGAGGGGTACAAAAGTCACGCAGGTAAACTTGAACGATTGTGAGATGATCGATAGCATGTTAAGATGCCAGGTCAAAAGTCTGGTCACAGCAATGAGCCTCGTACCTAAATCCCACTATCCACCTGGCACGAACGCTGTGGGTAGAGAAAGTTCATCCCACGGCCGCAAAAGGGAAATAACGTTTCCAGAGCAAAAGTTTGATTTCGCCCGGACTTGAACCGGAGACCTTCAGTGTGTTAGACTGACGTGATAACCAACTACACCACGAAACCATTGGTTGTTGGAAGGGAGGAAGGTGCGCAGGCCTATGAAGCCGACTTTTTGCGAGCCCTGGTTTGTTCTGGTGGGAAGCTCGTGTCAAGGAGGGACCCCGGACCTCCCGTGTCCGAGGTCGGGCCGGCGGGGCCCATATTTGAGCCGATCTAATGGCGGGGCAGCCCACCACAGTCCCCTCCACCCTCTCACCTCGATCATGCATCATCTCTCTCACATCCTTGTGCGGTGTTGACATCCAGAGCAAGTCTCAATGTTTTCTTAGTGAGATATCGAGTGAAACGACTTCAAACGCCATTCCATGCATCTATAAGGCACAGCCAGGCAGAAATGCGTGCTCTAGACATCTCGAGACTTCGCCTCTAGGCAGCAAAGGGCTAGCAGGGATCTTGGCAAGCGTACAGCTGCATGTCATGGTCTGAACTAAGATCAGCAGCCGATGGAGTAATTATGTCAAGTGTCCCGGACTTCATCCGATTTGTTAAGTTCAGGATCTCTCAGCATCAAGCACGCATCAGCGAAAAGGTTTAGCGATGACCTGAGCTGTTTGTCGTTTCGCTTGCTGCAGCCCTTGCAAAAGAAACACAAGACTTGGTGAGAAACAAGCATTAGACTCCTTCCTTTCTGAGATACATGAGTCAATTGTCTTGATTAAAGCACGGTTGTAAAGAGGATTGGGTGTGGTATCGTCTTACCTGAGCATATATTACTTAAGAAGTCATGGCGTTCTGGTGTTGCCTCAGTCGAAAAACATCGAAACCAACTCAACCATCACCCCTCAAGATATTCGAGACATCCCAAAACTCGAGCTCGTCTCACACGCCGTCCACCATGAACCACGAGCGATATCAAGACCGCCTAGACCTCGTCAACAGCGTCATCCACAGCTACGGCCTCAAAGTAAGACCCTCTCCCTCCCTCCCTCACTCACTCACTCACACCCATCTAACACCCCCCTCAAGCCCGTCGAAATCACCCCCATAGACTACGATGAAACATCCCCCTTCGCCTACAACAACTACATCTACAAAATCACACTCTCCGCCCCGTTAACACCATCCTCCTTCCCCGATGGCCGCCGCCGCCCCTACACTCAGCTTCCTCCGGCAGAAGGCATATCCACCGTCGTAATGCGCATCGCGAACCCAAAAGCAGAAGGCGTCGTGCAAGAAACCCGCGTCGAGAACGAGGTCGCGGCGATTCACCTCGCGCGTCAGGGTCTGGCCTCGTATAAGCCTGAGATTGCGGGGTTGATGCCGGCGTTGTATGATTGGAGACCATATCGTCCTTCCAAGAACACGGAGACGGAAGAGGGAAAGGAAGCGGGAGGTGAAGGTGAAGGTGGCTACGGATGGGGTCTGATGGAGTTCAAGGAGGGTGTGCCGCTTGATACCGTCTTTCGGGACCTGGATGACGGGGAGAAGGATGATGTACTGGGGCAGATTGCGGATGTGGTTACGGGGATTCAGAGGGTTTCTTTGCCTGAGAGTGTGAAGACTCATGGAGGGTTGTCGATTGATGAGAGGGGACGGATTGTGGGTGGAAAGATGACGACATTGAAGGGTGGGCCTTGGGGAAGGTATAGTGATTTCTGGAAGGCGAGGTTGGTGCTCAGGCTTGAGGATGCGGATGCGAGTCCGGCGCTGGAGGGGTGGAGACCTAATGGGGTGAGGGAGCGTGTTGACAGGTTCTTGGAAGATGGGCTGGAGAGATATCTTGATGGGTCTGGAGTTGATGGTGGGAAGTTGGCTCTCATTCATGGTGATCTAAGTGAGTCGATGTCCATCTATGATGAATTGGTTTGCCTTTTTGACGAGCAACCACTAGCTACGAACAACACACTCTACGATACAACCACAAAGAAACTCACCTCCATCCTCGACTTCGACTTCGCCTTCATCTCCCACCCCTGCCACGAATTCTTCATATCGCTAGGCGACGTCGGCGGCAACACGGGCGGCGGCACGGGGCGGGACTCGGATCTCAGCGGGGGCTTGCTAGGCAAGGCGATGCTGACGGGCGACTTTGACGGGATTCGAACAAGTCTGCCGCAGGAGGCGGCAGGACAGCTGACGAGGGCAAAGGCGTGGGATGATGCTTTAAAAGAGAGGGGCGCGCTGCGGCCTAGTGAGATTGCGGGTATGGCTGCGCTGGATGGGTTGAGGAGGCTGGAGGCGCTGGCGTGTCCTTTTGCGTTGGAGCATCCTGTCATGTTGAGGCGGAAGACGAGGGAGGAGATTGAGGAGATGAGGGGGGTTGCGGAGGGGGAGCTTGTTGAGTGTCTTGAGGGGTTTGGGTATTAGTTGAAGACCTGGAGATCTGGCGTCTTTGGGGTGAAGGAAGAGTCAGATCTAGTTGAGCCGGTTATGTTCCTCAGAGTCAAGTAAGTTGTGATTCTTATGATTACTCGTGTACACCAGGGTTGTATCCGAAAGGGCTACTTCTGGGCTCGGACGTCTGGACTGGTATCCGTGGTACGGGCAAAGAGTATTCAAGTCCTAGAGAGGACTGCTGCTGGTACCCAGATAATACGACAACACTATCCTATGGGATCGTGGGTGTGAAATCAGTAGAAGTATAAACCACTTGCGACACAACGTGACTTTCCCACGATCTCCTGACGGAACCCTGGGTAGCAGTGACCGGGCCGTAAAGTCCCATATCCGACCATCTTGGCTCCGTGTCCGAGAACCATTCCACCCTCTCTCATCCATGGTCTTTACCTTGCGAGGCTTGTAAACTTGCTCAAATGGCTGGGATGACCGGATTCTTTAGTGTCCCGGAAAAAGCAAGCATCGTGTAAACTTCAGCCTTTCAGTTGTTTGATGTTTTCGAAAGCCTTGGAACCGTGTCTCTAGAGAGAACCTGTATGGGCTACGTCCACTGCATAGGGGATATTAAAACCTCTATCTTTCTCCGATGGCAGTCTTCATCTTTCAAAAGGCCTCACAGTCAACATTATTCTCAGAGTTCATACCACATTCCCAATCCTCCAAACACATCCCGTTTCTCAAAGCCTTCAAACCAAGCAACCCAAGCAACCACTACCAAGTACTTATAAGACTTCAAAGACAAACAACCACCACCGCTACAATGCAGCTCAAGAATCTCCTTCCCGCTGGATTCCTTCTTCCGAGCTTCTTCGATAAAGCGGAGAAAGCCAAGGAGCACCCAGAAGGCCACATTACTACCACCAACACCAAACAGGTGGAACTCGGCGACGTGATGTTCTTCCGACAAGACTTGGATGACCTCAAGCGTCTACTCGCCACCATCGGCTCAGATGCCATCACCATCAAGAAGCTCCCTAAGACGGACGTTATCATCGTCAAGCGGACTGCGAATAGTGATAACAATGATGTTGATGCTGCGGCAACAGCTACCATCTCATCCACCTCACCTACTACCACTACTACCTCTACTTCATCCGCCTCGTCGGCCTCCGTTCCTGACGCCTCTGACGTCTCAGAAGAGATGAAGATGTCAGCCGAAGTAGAGTCACCTATATCATCTACCCTACCGACCTCGCTCGGCCCAAACATCCCGTCAACCCCCCTTCCTGATACAACAGTCTCTTCAGAAGATAAGAAGACGTTATCCGATGAGGAAGAAGCCGTCAAGCCGGATCTCGGCAAGAACAACATCACTGACGAACACGACATCGCCCCCGAAACCCAGCCCGTTCAGCTTTCGACCAGAGACACCAAGTCCAGGGCCCCCGGCGTATTCCCCTGGAGAAGCAAACTCTGCCGCTGCGTTTCTATCGGCGCCATCTTTGGAAATAAGGACGACCGTCTCCCCGAGTTCGATGAACCGTTGCCAGCGTACTCAGAGGGCATTTCCATCTTCAATTGGGGTAACAGCGTCTGCAAATGCGTTCCTATGGACGACGCCTTTGGCGATCACACTATTGCGCTGGACGTGGCTATTGAGAGCATAGAGTAGGGGCTTGAGGCGTGGGCTTTGAGGACCAGAGGCATGGAGAGTATTGGATAAGATTGATACCCATTGGAAGTGACCAATTTGGAAGAAGAGCTGAGAAATTACCGGAGACAAGGGAGAGTCGTTGTCTAAATGGAGAGCAGGATCACTTTGGTTGTTGAAGGATTGGTAAATCCCTGAGCAAACTACATGGAGTGTCAGAAGACACCATCCTCCGAGGTTACCAATTGAAGTACAACTGAACATTCATTGTCTTCAGCAGTTGCTATTGCAACGTCAAATGCGAACTCTGCGATCACGATAGAAGTCAAACATATTAGAAACCAATGAGGGACAATGTCGTCTCACTTCTGATCTTGTCCTCGTAGATGACTGGTGAAGACCCCTACCTGGGAAGCACTGTGTGAAAGAACTTGTGTAAGCTATCGATGTCGTTTGCTATCACAAGCGAGGGGGGTCTGCATAACTTTCCATAAAAGCAGTGACCTGACATGGGAAACGTTGCAGACCCCATTTGCTTGCATTAGCCCGCTCTAGCTCGCCGACAACGGACGACCCATGCAGAATGCCCCTCTACCCCTCCAACCCTCCGTAATTGTGTGACATGGTATGATGGTGGGCGAGAGAAACAAGCTGTGAATTCAAGTGCCGGACCCATGACGGGTTCGCCCGGGAAAAGTTGGTCTAGAGCGTACGTTTAGTGATCATGCTTCCTTTGACGACAGTCGAATGAGCAGCGGATCACGGATATCTTATGCTACACGGTAGTCTTCTAGTCAAGCTTTCTTATCCTCAACAGCCTAACGTCTATACATTTGTCGCATCCCAGCATATCGTCGTCAGGGTCAAGCATTTTCTTTGGCACGGAGCAGATGGGGCTTGAAATGGGGCATTGCGGCCCCAAATATCCCCCACCAGCCGTGTCTAGACAAACGCGTCAGACCGTCAAGTCGTTATATCCCGGATCTGCGTTGTGTTCATTGGTGGTGGTATCATATGAGAGAGATTACGCCTGTTGTCCCTTGATATGGACCTTCACCTTCATGCCGTCGACAGGCTTAGCGGTAACCAAGTGAGTCTGTAGGGGAAGTATCAGTGGGAGTTCGTCTCAAACGCAAGGGTAGTGGGTTCACTCACAGAGAACATGACAGACTTCGTCTTGTAGAAACCCTTCTCGTCAAGCTGGGGCTGTCCCTTCTCATCCAAATCCAGCTCACCCTGCCCAACCTTGATAAACTCAAAGTATCTTGCGATGCAAGCCAGAATGATGCGCACTTCCAAGTTGGCGAGCTCGGATCCGGTGCACCGGCGGGGCCCTCTCTCGTACGGTCTGAAGGAGCTGTCCGGGATCTTGGCGCCTTCCTCACCGAGCCATCGCTCGGGCATGAAGTCGTCCTTGGTCTCGCCAAAGATCTTGGGGTCGCGCTGGATGATGTAGGCTCTGGGGGTCACGCAGAGGTCGTCGACGACCAGCTTTTGTCCGTTGGGGAGAGTCAGGGTCGTTCCGGATCCTTGGGGCGCGACACGGGCTGTTGTTCCGGGAGGGTGTAGGCGCAGGGCTTCCTTGATGACTGCGTCGGTGTCTGTCGCGGCTATCAGCTAGGTTGTCCAGGTTATGAAAGGAATCGAGGGGTTCAACTTACAAGGCAGGCGGGCCAGAAGCTTTCCAGCTTCGGGGCTCTTGAGTTGCTCAATGACAGACTTGGGGCTCTGATCCGGGCCAAAGACCTCGTCAAGCTCATCCTTCAGATCCTTGGCCGACTGCGGCCGTCTGTGAAGCTCGTAGAAGCACCATTGCAGGAGAATACTCGTCGTGTCATGGCCGGCAAAGAGGAAACCGCGGAGGGTGTCGCTGGTCTGTTGGAGAATCTCGGGGGTCAGGACGTCGATGCCCTGAAGACTGAGGGTGGCAACACTGCGGGATGCGGTGTCGGCGCCGGCCAAGAGCTCCTTGTGCTGCTTCTTGATTTCTTCCTTGAGGATGCCGTCGAGCTTCTTGTCCAGGCGTCTGAGGGTGCGTTCGTTCTCGGTGAAGTATTCGCGCATCCAGTTCTTGCCGGGGATACGCTTGTTGAAGGCTTGCGACAGGGCGCGGTATGTGAGCAACACCTCGCTCTGCTTGCCCTCGATTTGAGCGTTCAGATCCATATCGAAAGTGACAATGCCTAATATCATCCATGAGTATACGTTCCAAGTCCTGTGGGTGTCTTCTGGGCTCACCAATAACGTCGAAAGCCAGGTTTGTGGTGTACTCGTCAATCGTAAACTCTTCGCCAGTAACGGCCTTCTGTTCCATGAGCTCGATGAAGGTCTCCGACTTGTCCAGGATGACTTTCACGAGACCAAGAAGATGTGAAGGCGCAAAACCGGGAAGAATTCTCTTTCGGAGTCCTTTCCATTCCTCGCCCTGATGCGCAAGCGCATTGTCAGTCTCGCAGTATCACCCAAGCACAAAAACATCATGGTATGGACTTACATCCGTTGTTACGAGAGACCGTGCGCCGACCAAGGGAGCCAAATGTTGGATGGCGGGGTGCTTCGGCACACTGGTGCTGTACTGCTTTGAGGGCTTGGTGACTTGTTCGGCAACATCGTTGTCGAGGATGAACAGAATCAGGAACTTTTCGATAGGGCGCCAGTCTACCAACAGAACGGGAGGGAACCCAAGCTTCTCGGCCTGTTCGTACAGAATCTCGTCTACATGGTCGCAAAGCATTAGCGTCATGTATGACTTGCATATCGCACACAGAAAGCCCGCAGCACAACTCAATTGCAATGCTGCCGAGACCTCTTCATCACTGATATTCTATAACGAAAACGTACCAAAAGCCCTTCGAGGATCACCCAGACCGGCGGACTTCTCAATCCACGGCCAATGACCCCTCACTGGGTCAGCCTCTTCAGGCTGCGGGAAGTGAGAGTATTGCTTGATGTCGATACCCGGGGTGGCTTTTGTCCGTCTGAGGTAGTACACCACAGCAACGGGGATCGCGGACAACACGAGAAGCTTCCATTGGAGGAGAACACTGAGCTTTTCAAAGTTCTGCGACGTGACGAAGCTGAGGAGAGCCATCTTTGCGATCGCGTGGAGGTTGAGGGGGGAAACCGCCTCAACTAGCCTTTAGGAAACTACGCTTCGGTGTTCTCCCTCACGATCTAAACAGAAGAAAACACAACCACCAAAACTTTTCAGACTTTCGCTCGCGCGAAGATGTGCGCCATTTTTGTAAGGGCTGGGAACGGCCGGTATATATTGCTGACCACCCTTGTAAACCTATTTTTTCTTGCTCGTACCAGACTTTGGTAGGCCATAAGTACACCATCACGGATGTCGCAATGGGATCCGCACATTTTCCCTCTTCAGCAAATCTTCAGCGTCCAGGACGGGCCGTGAGACTACATGTAGTGTGGCATCCGGAGGGCGGGGTGGATTGGATGGGCGCGCGGAATAACCCATCACCATCCACTGGGGGAAGGTCGAGCTATTTCATGCTGCCCGCCCCTAGCTAATTACGGTAAATTGAGCGTAATGCCAAGACTGAAAACTCTTCGTACATGATGCACCTCCTCGAATCAGATCCAGTTTATCTAATCTGATGCATCTTATCTGATCCGGTGGTGGGGGAGCCGACACTACCTCCGAGGCCACCTCACTTTGGTGAATGGTGTTGTCACTCTGTGTAGATCGCAATAGGCGACGAAAGCACCCAGCGGAATCCCGTATCCCACCGGACAGCAAGTGGGTGACTGACGGTTAGTCAGGGTGGCCAGCGGAATATGCATATGTGAGTGAGCAGAAAAGAGCGTCTATTCGTACTAAAGAGTGGATGGAATCACCACAGGCTTGTGGGCCTAATGCTATCCTAATAAGTCTTGCAGAGCTAGGACCAGGTGGAAATGACAGTCTGGCCTGTTTCGTGATGGTCAGACCATTCCGAATGGGTTATGTCCATGACTCGCGTAGAAGCATGCATGGATTCTGTCAGTGACAGTCTGAATGGGGCCACGAGCGTGAGGAGAAACCTCTGGCCAGGGATAATCTCACTTTCTCACCAATCAGTGTTTTTATCTCCCCGTGTTCTTGGAGAAAAACTGGAGAAATTTGACCTTTTCGCATGATCCCATCCACTCTGTTTCCCCCAAAGGATATTGGCCCGTGAAGTGGGCGAAACCGACTGTTCATAAACCTGAACTCTCTTCCACTATTATGAACCAGAAACAAGAAGTCGATTTGCAAGCACGACGATGAGGATCATTTCTCATTGCAAAACAAGACGATGAACATGCAGAAAGACAGTGCTCCAGCTTCATAGTCTGTGAGCTGCAGGACAATGTTGAGCAAGGGTTCGACGCGAAACTGGCGATGGCGAGAAGGCATTGGACGTAATGGACGAGTCACTACTCCGTAGATGGCGGGGTAAATGGGCAGCGGCCAAAGTCACTGCCGCCCAAGTTCGTCACATTTACCTCTCCCTTGTTCTCCCTTCCCTTGTTGACACACTGTGCCGCAACTTTGGCCGAGGCCGAACCGCGACTTCGCCGTCTGCCTGCGTCATGTGTGCCAGCTTGCCGGAAGATAAGCCCTAGTCGAATGAGCCCGACCGAGATGAGCAAAGCAGATCAGCGTTCGTCCCGCTAGCTTGGCAAGGCTTAGCACTCTAGGCTTGCAGCTAGACCTGGACGTGTTCTGAGACCTTTCCCGAATAGTAGCATTTCTCGAGGTTCTTCAGCCTCCCGGCCTTGAGCTCGAGAATACAACCGTTTACAGCTAGTATTGACGAGTCTAAGACCGTCGCCTCTTGGATTGGAATCCAATCAACTCCAAGAATTGACAGCGGGAAGTCAGATCCTCACTTTAGACATTGACATTGACGTCAAGTTGGATGAGAGATCTTACTTACAAGTGCGAAACCCGTTCGGGAGACGACGACTTCCTTGGCCTTGAGCTCAATGAGAAAGTTGTATAAATTCGGCATGCTTCCTTTGACAACCATGCAGTTAGTAGCATCTTCCACAGCAGTAAAGTAAGTACTCAACTATTTCACGATAACTCTCACACCTTAGACCTAAACTCCACCACACCCAATCAGCCATGATGCGGACATCTATTCCCTCAATGCTACTCGGCTCGTGCCTAGCGATGCTACCTTGGTCTGCTACAGCAGCACCAACGCCGGATCCGGAAGCACAGAAACTCGCTGATCCAACATACGGCCCCATCCCGGGACAGTCGACCCTCTTCAGCGACTACAAGGGCAAAGCGCCTCCATTCCCAGGCAATATTACTGCCCCGATCCTTCCTACAGCTTCTGGGGACCCGGGGCCAGACGACCAAGTCTGGCAAAATCTTTTGGCAGCTGAGTGGGCTATCTTCAGCTTCTATCAACAGGGCGTCGAAGCCTTCAACACTTCCTCTTTTGTCGCTGCTGGCTTCCCAAACACAACTTACGATCGCATCACGGAAATCCGTAACAACGAAGCGGGACATCTGCGCATCTTCCAGAACCAGATCTCCAACACCAGTGTCAAGCCGGGGTCATGCAAGTACGAGTATCCATTTGTGGACGCCACGAGCTTCTTGGCATTGACCACGTACCTCGAAGTCGCCAGCATGGCTTTCTTGACCGGTCTGGTCCAAGAACCTAAGAGCGAGGCCGCGCGTGGCGCCATGGTCGCTATCGCAACAGTAGAGTCGAGGCATGAGACATGGTCGTTGCTGGACGTCTGGGGGGCGAACCCGTTCTCTGGACCGAGCGATACTGTGTTCCCCTACGCCAACGAGATTCTCGACCTGACAAACGCCTTCATCGTGCCGGGAAGTTGTCCATCCACGAATCCAGAGTATCCCAGCCCGAACCAGCACCTTCCGGCCATGTCAGCCGCGACTGGGACAAAATCTATTGCTCCGGGGTCCGATGTTTCGTTCAACTTTACGAACGCAGCTGACCAGCCAGAATTTGACGACGGAAAGAGCTACTACGCGGTTTTCTTTCACGCTGTTGGAAATACTAGTGTCTCGGTTGATGTATCAGGATGGGAATCTAGGGATCTTGTCAACGTGACAATTCCAGCCGAGTTCGAGACCAAGGGAATTATCATCGCCGTGTTGGCAGATTGTCCAGGAGCTCCTGAATTGGATACGGTCGTGGCTGGACCCAGTATATTACTGCAGCAACCAGCACCCATTGGTCTGCTTCTGGCTTGAAGAATGTAGACACCACTGGCCTGGAATTATCATCGCGTAGAGATTAGTGATAGGAATATGACTCTTTAGCAGAAACCCATAGCCGGGGCAATCCGAACCTCGAAAATCCTATCACCCAAGTCATCTACCGCTTGACGGCAACCTAATTGATTTAGAAAGCTTCGACTGACTTGATCTAATCGTAAGATAATTTCATGGCTTGCCTTACCAGTAGTCTCAGGTTAGTGGTCCTCGTCTCCACCACAGCTTGAGTTTCAATTCGCTTGACTCCCACCAAACTTGGACTGCGGAAGAGCTCCGGCAGCCCACAGGACCAGCGGGCATTCATCTCGCTTGAATCGGTCTATTAGTCTAGTTGGTTAGGACGTCGGATTCTGACTTTCAGAACCTTCCGTAGGCCCAGGTTCGAATCCTGGATGGACCTCATTCACTTTTGTCTCTGGAGATACTGCCCACGCTTTGTGTTGATCTTGTTTTTGTCCCTCAGAATTGAATTGGTGGTGGGACCTGAATGCTATGTCGAACATATCTCTCTCTTGCGAATACGGAATATCGCTTGTTTGAACGCTGTATCTAAATGAGAGGCAGTCAGTGTTCACCTTCTTCCGTAGGGTAACCGGCGCATTTTTGAGTCGTGAAGTGATGGACATGCATTTGACTTGGTCTCTGGCGGTGTGGCGATCAGACGGTAGTAGGTAACTTGGCACCTTGGTAACTTTGTTTACAGGGGCTAACCCAGCTGGGCCAAGTGCTGCCCACTCCTGATTGGTACTGTGGAAAGATCATGCGATTCAGCGCCAATTTGTCAGTTTTCCACCAAACAAAGATTGCCTTCCATTGAGACAGATATCATATCCATAACGTCGCAATCCATTTGAGGCGTCTTTGAAACAATGAGACATTAAATTCTGCTGGAACAGTAAAGATGCAACATCTCAAGTGGAATCTGGACACCCTACCGCGAGAGCTGCCGGTCAACATATGCGAGATTCTGTACTATGACGACCACGCTGCAAGTCTCGCCTCGCTCTCTGCAGCGAACAAGACATGCCGCGATGCTGCAGTCGGTGTCTTGGTCCGCACCATCAAGTTTACCGTTAGCGAACATAGCTGTTCAGACAACGAGGACAACTGGTCAGAAAGCGAAGATAACTGTTCAGACAGGGAAGATAACTGTTCTGATATGAACACAGGCTCCCAGGACAGCCTACACCTCGATGCCCTGAGTTGCGAACGAATGCTTCACGGAAACGGCGTCTCGTCTCAAGTTCGCCGGATCTACATCAAGGGCATAGAACCAACATTTGAAAAGGACTTTGTGAGGAGGACTCTCGATTGACTCAGACCCGTTGGGGTTACCGTCGGCCCGAGTGGAAACAGAGGCGCATTTACGCCGCCGTAATGTGAGATGACTTCGAGAGAAAGATGAAGGAGAGCTACTGGGAGCCGGAAGAAACCGAATACCTATACGAATCTCGCTATCCGTTTGACTATGCCAACTGTCAGCCTCGGTCGATCTATGAGAGTTGTTCAGCTTGGTCACCAATGGCTGGGCTCATCAGGGAACTGTCCAACCTGACGGACATCTTCTACGCATGCAATACTCGATTCCCTCCCTTACTGCTTGATACCTTAAAGAAATTCCACCCTGCATGCAGAATTCATATACTTCCTTTCAACCTACGTTCGCTACAGACTTTACGTTCAGACAAGTACCAACTTGACCTGGTACAGTCTCCGAGCCTTTACAGCATCAGATGCAGCTTCAGATGCCCGTTTAGTGTTGATTACACCGCTCCAAATCGCCTCAACACAGCTGCAATACGGACGCTTACCAGTATGGCTCCACGGCTGAAGGAAGTGTATGTGGCATATGCTCATGGCCATGTCCTCTATGAGTTAGACAAGGCCGCCTGGAAAGGCGCAGAGGACCTAGAACAATGCTTTCCGCAACACCGCGCGTCATTGCGAACCTTTCACTTAGGATGGCATCCGGGAACGTTCATAGAAGATGGTCTCCTCCGTGATTGGAGTCGCTTTGTTGACTTTGACGCGCTACGAGTCCTCAGACTACCGGCTCCCCTGCGGCCAAAGGGACTTGAACTACTTGGAGCGTACTCATTTCCTTTCCTAAAGAACCTGGTCATCAACATTGACGTTGCGTATGGGCGAGACGAGCCGGGGTACGAGCGAGAGAAAACATTCTCGCGATTTATCGATCGACTTAAGAAGCTGTGCACGCTAGAAGTGATTGGATGGGACGACTTTTATCTCGGAAAACACCTGTTCAACCCGTCTTGCGGCTTCGCTTTGCGGACTTTGGATTTACAAGGCCACGTCGGCCATCCGGTTTGGCCTCTCCCAAACCCATTCAATGCGCGGCTCATTGCGCTGACCGTCCAGCGCTGGCCCTTGCTCGAGAATCTGGCCATCAGAGTCCGACGCTCCAAATGAGATGGAGAAGAGATGGCTGTTTACCTGGCTCTCGGTAAACTTCGACGCCTTCAAAAGTTATCTCTACTTCTCATGCCAATGCAAGGAGCATGGCAGTCTCCGGAGGAGCGCACGACACCACCTCCAAAAAGTATGATAACGAGTGCGTATCATTATTATAGTAAAGAGATGATGGAAACTTTTGGACCTGAGACTAGAGAAGAATACCGGAACCTGCTCATCAACGTGGCCGTGGATGAGACGCTAGCTCGTGCAATCTTCCACGCCATTTCAACAGAGGGAGGAACCTCCCAGCATCACAACTTGACGAAACTGGAGTTGCGAACTGACGATTGGTCGTGGGCGAAACGCTTATGGGGAAGCGGCGATGTCGATGCTTTTTGCAGCATCCTAGGTCGACCGTGGGATGTTCGGCGCTACCCTAGTTTTGAGCATCGATCGGAGGTGTCCGCACGATTAGCTTGGGACGATCACAACACGTACAAAGTCACAATGGGAGGTCCTTTGCACGAGGTGTTTCGCGGAATATGGCCGCTAGCTGAGGGCAGCGGACCAGAAACCGAAGATTCATGGCAGACGGATTGGAAGAGCTTCCCATTTTCCGCCCAGGTTGACAACTCGGAGCCTGGCTGGGACGTGTACGACCAGTGCGGGGCCACAGCGAGAGGTCCTTTGCACGCGGTATTGCAGGGACTCTGGCCGCTAGCTGAAGGCAGCGAACCGTAAACGAATGGTTCGTGGCAGACAGACTGGTAGAGTTTCCTACGATCCACCCATGTCGACAGATTGAAGCTCGACTGAGGTTGAAAAAAGACACATGACTAAGTACTTAGCCGATGAATCAAGCGTAGAATTCGCCCACGTTTATTTCTGGATATTAAATGTGATACATGTAAGAGCGTCAAGCGAAGAGACTTCGGTCATAGGAAAAATAGCCCAAGGTAAGTAAGGGAGATATCGAGGGATACGTACACCTTGTGGCAAGTCACGATAGTCTCTTAGCAGTTCATTTGATAATGTCAAAATATGTCTGCCTTGGAGTTCCAGCGTCCCATGTATTATGTCGCTCTATTTGCATGTGATGTTACATGTGGTGTCAGGGCCGTAATTGAGGAGATGGGAAGGAAGCATCCAAATCAGCTAAAGACTTCGATAAAATATGGATCATTAATACGCAGCCAAAGCGAAAATAGCAACAATGAAAACATTCACTTCAATTTCTGAGTGTCCAAAGTATCAGTGTGTTGATATTGGTCCTCTCTACACGAACATGCCGGCTCCAGCTGGTTCCCGATGCTGCCGAAGTGTTCGTGTCAGACAGCCGTAATAAAGGCATATACGGATAGACCTGAGCCAAAACACGGTAGGGATCTTTCCACCCCCGGGCACTTAGTAGAGCCTAGGCCGCTCCGAAGACCCAAGAGACGCATTACCCACAAAGTAGTGATACGGAGTACATGGTGGTGGTGCCCAGACAAACAGAGCAGGCTGAAGTATCTACATTAGCTTATTCATTCTGACTCCACTGGTCTTTAATCGCTCATACATATTTCGTTCACCTCGGGACATTCAGTCAAATATCGACGTTACCATTGGCTTAGGATTCAGTCACCCAACTCGTGGCTTGAATTCGAATCTCCGCGCCAAAGGCCACGACCCGTGGCTTTCTATTAGAACCGCTTAACTTAGTACTGCCATTTCTTATCATCGTCTGGAAGAATATTCTCGAACAATTTCTCATTGGTGAAGTTTGGATATCAGTGCATAGAACAAAACCTCAGTTTATTCGTGGGAAACAGAACTCATTGAGTTTGCGATCGGCATTCGCATGCCGGTCCAATCCAAGTTCAAACTCAGATTTAGGACGGCCGCTTGGCAGAGCCCGTTATACCGACACATTATGGCCACGCAAATCATCCACGGAAAGTGCGTATGAACGCCGATACGCTATTTGGTAATGAGCGGCCGGGCCTCTCCGCTGTCTTCGTGGCATGTACTAACAAGGCGGGTCAGACAAGGTTGCGAGCATGAAGGAGGCTGTGTCGGTTTCCTGTCTAACTAGACGTCCCTATTAAGAGCCCAGCCCTCGTAAGACCACGTAGGAGTGATTTCAGTATATAGAATCTAAGCTGACGAGAAGAGATTTACAAGCAGAGCTTCCATAGAGGTGGAGCGTAGGCGTAATAGAGCCCGCGCGGTCAATCGTGGCAGAATAACGTCCGTCACCCACTTCCGGGCCCCCAAAATTTCATATTCCTACATTTCTACCCACCAGCTTTAACTAACTTTTGTATATATTATGATGCCACGACGATGCAACTTTTGCTATCACTGGGCTTTTCAGACTCGCTAGATTCATCTGTGCTATTTTCAAGTTCGCCCGCCTCGATCTGAGCCCTCCGAATAGCTTTAATGTCAGCAAACTTCGAATTTGGGCTCACTTTGACCTTCTTGCGCTTCCTAGCCCTACCGGCATCAACCTCTGCCTGTAGTGCCTTAATCTTTCGCTGGGCTACTGCCAGTTCGTAATTCTTCTCATCAAAGCCCTTCTGAACTTTCCGAAAAAGCAGGCGCTGCGTGTGTTCATCGTTATCCAGCTTGCTGAATAGGCTGAACTGATCTTGGAGCTCACCCCTCTTCTTGGGGGTCGACCAAGGGACTGCTGATGTTTCTGCCGCCCATTTTTCGCTTGCCTTGCCGTCAGAAAGCCCTTTGCAGACCTGAACAGCCTGCTTGGCAGGGGTTGACGTGTTCTCAAGCAGCAGGGGGCTCATGAGGGGTCTAGCCATACTGACAGGCCACAATCCAGTCCATTTCCAGCCACTGATGATGTTTTTGCTTGTCAGGGCTGCCTTGCGTGCCTTGCTGTAGCATATAATGAAGTTTCTCTTGCCTACAACTGTGCTAGCATCCCACTCGGCACGTAATCCAAGCTCCTTCTTGTATGCTGCCTTAAGGGGGCCAAAAACGGACTGATCTAGAGGCTGAAGGACGTGTGACGTATGTGCTGGCAAGAAGAGCAAGTGTATCTTGTTCTTGAAGCAAATATACATGAAATCCGTTGTCTCATGGCTTCCATGACCATCCAGGATCAATAATCTGACCTCTGAGGGGTCCGCTGGCTGGGTTGAAGGGATGAAGACCTCTGTTAACCACTTGACAGCTATAGAGTCTGAAGTCCAGCCGTTTTCTGTTGCTATGAACCTCCAGGGTTCGTATAGCTTTAGATCTAGAGGGAACCACTACTGCTGGACATTCTTACCCTTATATATAACAAGTGGAGGCAGTGCCTTGCCAGTTACAGAGATACACTCGATCAGAGATATCCAAGCACGCGATCCAGGCTATTTCTTGCAGATAGAACGAGTTTCTAATAATCCAAGAACAAGACCGTTTGATCCTCTACCTTCTAGAATACCAGTTTCATCCATATTATATCGATTAGAGGCTTTGATGGCCATGATCTCAGGGATGGCGAGGTGCTTAAACCATTGCCTAATAACATTAGTTAAGGCCCCATTGATCCGCTGGGAATCGATTGCTCTGCTTCTCTGGACCCTTACAGATGGGTTTCTCTTGATAAAAGACTGAACCCAGTTCTTCCCAAGAGGCTGGGGGTCTCCATGGATCTGGAGGATACGCTCAGCAAAATTCTTGAGTTGTTGATGGGTTGGAGGCAGGCCCAGGGCAGCCTGAATTCGAACCCATTCAGCTAGATTGCTTTCCTGGGTAGGAGAGAGCCTCTGCTGGTTTGAAAAGGCAGTATCTCTTGACTGCGCTCCTCGGATTCGGCGTTGAAGTGTTGACCTTGGTATACCCGATTCAAGGGATGCCTTCTTAAGGCTTTGTCCGTTAGCCATAGCCTCAAGGGCTTGGCTAACGTCAACTTCTGTATATTGCTTCATCAACTAAGAAATAGTATATAGATAAAAGTTCAAAGGGACTGATAAGGAAATGATGAAGATATTCAAGTTGTTGGGGGATGAAAATGGCGGTGAGTCATTTTGGGGGGGGGCCTGGAAGTGGGTGACGGACGTTATCCGGGCGCTGGCCCGGATCCACTAATCGGGTCCAGCCCGTAACAGTCCCAAAGTGTCTGTTCTCCAGTCGTTAAGAACCCACTGATCTAGTGTACTCTGTGATGGATACTGGGTATAACTGGACTGTTGGACAGTTGTTTTTGCGGCATTCTCGGTCATCATGCCCTTTGGCCCCTTTCCACAACGCTGCTTGATTCCCTAGATATGCGTAAATGATAACGCGTTACGGAGTAGGGCAGCGGGCCGTTCTTGCCGATCCCGAAGCAAATTGGCAAAAGAGAGAGGATTACAGCTAACTGACTCGGGGCCGCCGCTTTGGCCTGCGGTTTGATGAACACGATAATGTAATTAAGTCAATTAGACGAAAATATGAATGGTGATCTTCTGCCTCAATCAGTATTTAAAGAGATGCAAAACTAGTTTACTGAACGTGTTGTGGTATTTCTTGGATCACAAATCCAATAATTTTCTTCCCGTCTCACAACCTTCGAGTCGCAAAAGCACATTTTTCGATAACCCAAGCTCTCGCCAAACGTAACAATGAAGTACATCACCGCCGTGATTGTGGCCCTTGCCGCATCTTCTAACGCTGCTGTCTGCAATTACGGATGGGGCATGCCGGCGGGATCAACGTGCCCTTCAGTCTACGTAAGTTTGAGATCCTCAAGTCGATCTTTGGAAGACAGCACTAATAATGACTTGCAGCCTAATACATACTGCGTAAGGTTCTTGAAGCCTTGACCCTGTCCTTTGCTCACCATATCCACATAGTGCCAAGAGGGCGAGAATATCCAGACGTCCAACGAGTTTAAGATTCGCCGAACTTGTTCGTACCCTGGCAACGGAGGCGCGGTTCTCCAATCTTGCCTGGGAGGAAGAGGTGTAAGTACCTTACTTGTGTCTTGAGAACGAGTGATGAGTAGCAAGCTAACGAGTGTGGTCTAGTATGTTGAATGTGTGAGTCCTTATTTCGCTACCGCTTCAAATCCGGGGATATTCTAACGCATCTAGTGCCCTTAAACCACTCGTACTAGAAGTATGAGAAGGAAAAAGGCAGCTACGCATGGCTTCTCAATGAGCAGAGATCCACGCCCACCTGTTGAGATGAGTCGCAGAGAGTTGGTGGTATTGGCTGGAGCAGCAAGCGGGACTTCAAGGTCCACAAGCGTTTTCACATGAGATATCCTTGATTTACGCAGTCTGACTACTTAGTGATGATCGGGAGGAACGTTGATAAACCGGAAGAAGTATTATTGTAATATACCTGTATATACAGACATGTGCTTTAAGAAAGTTGAGTCTAAAGCTGGAACTATGCCATCAAGATACACTCCAGCTGGAAGAACGTGGTAAACTTTTCTTTGTCGTAAATCGTTATGAATAAATGCGGTTCCTTCGCTATAATGGCTTTTGTCCGTATACGACATGACTGCGGTTGCTGTTAGTACAATTTGACAGAACACTCAAGGCCCGAGACCTACATTGGCCAGTATGCATGAATCGCCGTATTGTTCAAATCATTTCGGACTTCCGCAAGGAAAACATCAACGCTCTCTCTTGACCATCCGAGGACCCGGGTAAATAGTCCAACACTGAGACCCTCCAGCCCCATCATCACATTCTCGTGGTTCCATGAACCTACCCGCATTGTCAGTGTCCAAACGTTCTCAAAGCTGAAAGGCAACACGGTGTGATGGCAGCGATATGAAACACCACTCTCCAAGGGGTCTAGGAAATGCAGAGTCTAGTTCACTTACCAAGCTCCTTGTGCCTTGGGTGTTTCGCCCATCTGTTTGTCGGCCATTTGAAGATAACTTCCTTCACATTCACGAACCCTGCCTCTCGAAGTTGTCGCTTGTAATGTGTTGCTCCGCCAAATGGTGTCCCCCGCTCTCCTGTCCCTTGGAAAAGAAACTGGTTCCATTGATACAGCGCTGACTCTTTTGTCAGTGTGCCATCATCAGACATGGCTTGCGCTCCGTCGGCACACTCGAACCAGCCTCCCGGATTTAGATTTGTGAACGACTGCCGGAATAACTTGGGAAAATCCCTGATCCCGCCCGTGTTCATCCGGCTGTAGATAAAATCAAACTTTTGCGAAAACGACCAAGGTTCGTCTTCGATATCATCGATCTGGAAGTAGACGTTGGGCGGTACGTATGACGGCTGCACCGGGCTCAGATCCACGCCAATGATGGTCGAGCCGGGGTTCTCGTCCGCAAAGTCAATCGCCCAGATCCCTGTTCCGGTGCCGACATCTAAAACCCGTTGCGGCGGCCTGTCTTTACTCAACGGGGACAGGTGCAGCTTGTCGCCGAGGGTGAGAAGACATAGGTTATGCTGGAGGTCTAAGCGGTCGAGTTCGAGGTCGTCGTTTGGAAAGAGATAGGCGCCATCCTTGTAGGCGTGGTATGTGCGGCCATTCTCCTCTCGGTAACGTAGTATGCTACTGCGCAAGGACATGGTGGAAGGTTGCACCTCGGCGCCTAGGGACGAGTCGAGGTCCGACTCCTCGCCGTCGGACTCAAGCTCGCTTTCTTCATCTACAGATGTCGTCATAGAAACTTCGTCAGGTATTTCATCAGCTTCCAGGGAAGCTGAGGGGTGTGGTGCCGCTGGGGCCGACATGGTTGATGTGCGGCACGATAGACGATCAATAGATTGTGTCTTCGAGATTGACGAGCCTAATCTGGAATTTGGGTGGACGAATGCAACGAAAGATTGTTGGTTAAGGCCACAACGAGATATTTGGGAGCAAGGCTCTATTATGTCGAGATTGTTTCTTTTTCTCTCAGAACATGAAGTTGAATGAACTCCGCAATGGAGGTGGGAGAACCGATGGAAAGGCGGAAATCGTGGAGACTTCGGAGGAATGTCCGTTCCTGTGGCCCAACGGCGAACCAACACGCTTTTGATATCTGACAGGAAAACTCGCACCAACAATGAAAGGAAATGCAGGGATTTGATTGGCCGTGAATGACCCCTGGCAGGCAAACAGCCATCCTGCATCTCGAAACGAGGGGTCCAGCTCACGTCCGGCGACTCAAAGGTCCCTTTGCTCTCCCGTTGGCTTTGAGTACGTGAATGGGGCCCTGGCTGCTCGACTGTTGGAAAGTGTTGGACGAGGTGTTGGCCGCCCGAGAAAGAGCGTTCGAGGTCGTTGTACGCGATACAGAAGCTGTTGGAGCATCATGGAATGGCGCCGAGCGCAACATGCGCCTGGTTCGGGTAAGATCATCCTGCGGGATAACGGCGTAAAAGGCGGGTTGGAACAACATGATATGTAACCCCTCTTTTCGTGCATCAGGGCTTTACGAGGAAATTATTTCACGGATCCGACCATATGGTAAGTTGGAGAGACAGATGCTTGTGCCAAAGAAACATTGACCGGGTTTTCGGGTACTCGCTTACTGGTGAATTGGGTCGTCATACCGATCTCCCATGCATATTGCTGCTCTGATGTTGCAGCCCTGTCTCGCAGTGCCATCAGAATCCCGGGTCTGTAGTTTCGCACACTTCAAGTATCCGGAGGAAAGAAAGAACAATAATCTTCGAGCTTCCAAATACAGGGCTCAAGACCCTCATTGCACCGGCGTCAAACCAATTACGTTCATTTGCATCAGCCAATAATGGTCAATTTGAACAACGCACTACTTCAAAGGTAAGTACGTTAAACACCCACAGCTGATTCTCAGATTCTAGTCATGACTAATCTCATTGATTTGCTGACCCTTCAACGTGACGAAGATTAAGGGCACTTGAACAAGCGTCTTCATGTTGTTCTGAGAATACGATGCTCATTCCAAGAAACGCTCTCTTGCTCAACAGTGGATAGATGGGCTACAATACGCTAGCCGATGGCCATCGCCACAAAAGTCACTCCAACTCCTCAACCGGCTCATTAATGCTGTAAGAAGCAAGATATTGAGGACATCATTATGTCAGCCAGTCGCTATTATGCCATCGGCTTTCTTCCGGTGACAAACCGATAGCTTGTGATGAGTCTGTAGTCCTTGCTACGGAACTCTCGCTTGACACCCTCCATCAGCACTCGGGCCTGGTCGTGAGAGTAGTTCAATACTCTCGTGAACAAAGCCGGGGTGTGAGAGTCGACAGACATTTGCATGTGAACGAGTTCGCAGCGACCAAGCTCCTTCAATGCTGGGTCTTTCGCCCACGGGCCGATGGGTATCTAAAACTTTGTCAGTATTTCTCTCAGGGCATGCGCGTATCTTGCGGCTGAGGACACTTACCCTGTAGACAAGTTCCTGAACATCCTCAAAGCCGGCATCGATCATCCACTGCTTGTGGTGCCTTGCCACGTTGATTTGCTTCCCATACATCTTACTTGCTTCGTCCAATTTGTTGACCCATTCCTTTGTCCATGGTGCTCTCTCATAACTGTCATCATCGCTGAGAATCCATGCATCATATTCTTGCATTTCAACCCATCCACCCGGATTCAGTCCACCCATTACACGGTCGTAAAATCTTGCCCAGTTAGAGGATGTTCCACTAAGCGCGCGGCCATGAATGTAGTCGAAATGTTCCTCCTCGCGGTATGTCCACTCGTCCTCGTAGTCATCCACGTGGAACTTGCAGTTCGTAGGAACCCATTCTGGCTGAATGGGCGAGAGGTCGACACCGTATACGTCAGCCGTGGGAAATTCGTCTGCCATCTCGATGGCCCAGATTCCGGTCCCTGTACCGAGGTCGAGGATCCTCATGCCAGAAGCCGCCGGATCCTCTGGAGTGGGGAGCGGCGCGGTGTAGAGCTGGCCTCCGAGGAGGAGACGCCAGATATGGTGCTGCAAGTCGAGACGTTCTTGCTCTTGGTCGTCGTTGGGAAGGACGTACTGTCCTTCGCGGTAGGCGTGGTATCGCCGCCCGTTCTCATACTGGTAGTGGAAGATGGAGGATGCTATGGAGGCCGTGTAAGCGCTGCCAGCATCGGAGCCGTAGGCCGAGTCATGATCTTCATCGGGGTTTGTAATCTCGGTCTGTAATACGAGGGCACAAAGGAACGTTAGTGCATATGGCCTTGTCTAAAGTCCAAGGGAGAGGGAAGCTGGCGAGGATGGGCTTACGTCGACTTGTAGCGGTGTCAAGGTCTGATCTGCTGCCGGATTAAGCAAATACTGGATGCTCGTCGGGGCTACGGCACGGGGAGGTGTTGTCGCTCCCGTGCTGCTAGTCAAAGAGGTTGGTGTTTGGACTGGACCGGCACTAAGGGGGGTCCCGGTGTCCGGTCCCGAGTCCGCGGTACTGGAACCGCCGGTAGTTGACGGACGCGACGTCATGGGGAAAGGGAGCGCGGGATCGGCAGACCGTCAGCCGTCAGCCGTCTGTCCCCGATGGGAGAAGTAAAAAAAGATGGGAGGTTTGAAAACAACGGTTTCGCGTTTCCCCTGGACAACTTGACTCTGTACGAGAAACAGACGAGGGCCAAACTTGAAGTGCCCCCCTTTGGAACGGAGAAGCGGTAAAGTGAAATGTCACCCCACGGTGGGAAATGATGGATGAATGCGGATCGCCCGGGAACCCAGCTGAAGAATAATTCTGGGAAAAGCCTTGCACGTAAAGCCCCCTCCATCATCACGCCAATGAGCAGGGCCGTCCCCTATTCCGCTTCGAGCGCTACGTCCGTGCCGCCCCCGTACGTTACGACCCCTTCCTCTCAGCTGCTAAACCCACCACGGTATCCGCTTCCGATCGCCATCGCCATGTTCGGTAAGGCCTGTGAGCACGTTGTGAGCTTCATGGCAGTTGGGTAAGCCAATGACTGAAGAGTTCTGCGAGACAAGGAACCCCACCTTCATATCAACTCTAAGATATCACCTCATGTATATCGCTTAAGTATGAGACTGACTTAGTGACCTTGATTTTAGTCTCCCTTTTAGTGACACTTATCTCCCACTAGTGTCTGCTCCAGCCGAGGGGAAGCGGCATGTTTCTAGCCTGTCACGAAAGCGGCGGGGAATGGGCCGCAGTGGAGGGGTCAATGATTTTCTTTTGAAGCTTTTGGAAGCAGAATTTGACCTCATTTGGTCCCGCGATCGCAACACTCTTCTACAAGCCACTCACGGCTTGCGGCAAACTCGTCTCATCCTCACCAGCGAGAAGCTCTTTCCGTGCTTGAACTAGGTATTACTACATTAGTACATGTAGCAAGACCCTCAACTCAAAAGTCACTCGCCGTTTCATCACGTTACTATCCCACCGCTCAACTCACCGCCTCGCATCCTTTCGCCACGGACCAACACCGACGACAATGGCCCAAAAACTCATCGTCGTCGTAGGCGCCACGGGCAACCAAGGTGGTTCCGTTGCCCGCCGCTTCCTGGCTGCAGGCTACCGCGTCCGCGCTCTCACACGCGACACCTCTTCCACATCCGCTACTGGCCTGGCCGCTCTCGGGTCTGATGTGGAGCTGGTGAGCGCGGACCTCGAAGACGTGAAATCCATCGAAGAAGCATTCCAGGGTGCAAATGTCATCTTCAGCGTCACAAATTACTGGGAGCCCTTCTTCCGGCCAGGCTGTCGCTTCAAGGCAAAGGAGCAGGGCATCTCCTGCCGGAAGTTTGCATACGATGTCGAGTTGCGCCAAGGGCGGAATATTGTCGACGCCGCGGCCAAGACTGTGGACTCGCTCGACGATAACGGATTCTTGGTTTCGACCCTCAGTCACGCTGAGAAGTGCAGTGGTGGAAAGTTCAAGGAGCTGTATCATTTTGACTCCAAGGCTGAGATCTTCCCTGGCTACGTGAACGAGAAGTATCCCGAGCTTGCGGCAAAGATGTCGTGCATTCATACTGGTTACTTCTACACCAGTTACAATATTCTCCCCAACTCATACTTCGGAAAGGTGAGCAACTTCCCCTACCTTTAACTAAGAACATCTCTCAAACGTCATCAGAACCCCGATGGCACATTCACAATGGCGTTCACCACCTCTCCCGACAAGCCCGTCCCGCACTTCTCACCCGTCGACGATATGGGCAACTTCACCTACGCCGTTTCCCAGATGTCTCCCGGCAAGGCTTACATGGCTGAAGGAACAACTGCCACTTGGCCCCAGTTCCTCGAGACATGGGCGAAGGTAAACGGAGTACAAGCCAGCTATAAGCAAATCACACCGGAAGAGATGATCGAGGCGACTGGAGAGCGCGATACCGGCATTGAAGTCGCGTACATGTTTTCCTATTCCTCGGACCCAGGCTATGATGGTGGCATGGACCTGCTGACCGCAGCTGATATCAGAAAGGTGAGGGCCACAGCCCGCAAAGGACGAGACGTTCTATTTTGAGAGTACCTAATGAACTAACTGCTACTCACCTAGATTGGCATTGATTGTCCCATGACAACTTGGGAAGAGTGGTCGAAACAGAATGACTGGTCCTCTGTACTAGACAAATGATGGGTATGACAGCTGGTTTATGCTGAGACGAGCTAGACATAGATTAAATTGAGCAATCCCATACCCTCCAAGGCTCTGCCCATGAGCAACTTGACATACGAGAATCGCATGTGATTTATGAGCTCAATGTTTGTCATTTTGAATTTCTAGGTCCGAAGCGCAATCTTTTTACATTTATTCTTTTTTTGAATCCCGAGAACAACAACAACCTAAACCATCAAAAATCCATGTATACGGCCACAATAGTCGCCAGAGCCATGGCAAACATTGCTTGACCCCCAGCGGCAGAAACCTCTACCCCCCCGCTCCTCACCGGTTGGGCACCGGATAGCTGGCCCCTACCAGGTTCCATGGACTGCGGGAACATCAAGACTGTGCCATTACCCGCATCTCCCACTGGAGCTGTTGTGTTCGGATCGATAGTGAACGACGTGTTCGTCGACTCGAACCCTTCGCGTCTTCCGACCAGTACTTCGACACTACGGAACGCCACGGCTGGAGCATCCTGCGCGAGGAAGTGGCCTGCCGTAGAGACTGCGAGATACGTCAGACCTCGTTCTGAATGCACCGTACCCATCACACCGGCGCCGGCCAGCGTCTCAGGGTCAGTGTTGGTGTGATAGGGCACATAAAGCGGTGCGGTAGGCTTCTTTTGGAAACCCATTTGCCCTCCCCAGGTCAAATTCTGGATCGTGAGAAGGGTACCGTCGTCAATGAGCACAAAGTCCTTGGTGCCGTGTGCGAGGATGACGTTTCGCGTATTGTCAATGACGTTGGGCAAGACTGGTTGACTTCCCGGCCCTTCGTCAATGGAGTTGTCGGTCTCATTGAAAAACACTGGTGTCTCCGTGCAGAAGACCCATTCCTTATCCAAGGGGGCGTTGATGGCTTTCTTGACGTCTTCGCGGTTGAAGTAGACTGGTCCAGACCCTTTCGGCCTATACATAGAGCCATCGCTGAATCCAAGAGGGTCGTACTTCAATGGACAGAGATTCGTAACGGAGTAAACGCTGAAGCAAGGAGTAACTTCCGTCGCAGCCTCCAGAATCATGGTCCAAGTATCGCATTCTGGTTTTACGTTGCCGTCCTCATCCATACCCGGCATCGTCGCAGGCTGTTGTCCTGCAGGTGGATAGACGAGCCATGTACGCATGTAATCAGCATATCCACACTTTTCGTGCGCATCCTTCAACGTCTGTCTGAATGTGTCGTTGAAGGCGAAGACATGCTCCCATCGATCCACGAAGGAAACCGCAGGGATCTCCTCCCCGATACTGTCGACCGAGTACGTCCCGTCAAAGATTTGCATACCGGCAATGTTGAAGTAGTCCTTGTCATTGCTGTCGACCATAGCGCTCGCAATGTAGGGGCAGTACATGCCGCTGTACGAGGATCCCGTCACATAGACCTTGTAGCCCTGCATGGCAAAAGTGTCGACAAAGTTGCGCCAGAAGCTGAGGAACTGGCGAGCTACATCGAATTCGTCCTTGGCGCTGGGTGTACCCTGGGAGAAACCAGTACCGACTGGCTGGTCAACCCAGACGACGTTTGTGATGCGGTGCCAACTCCATTTGTTGCGAATGGGCTTGAACATTCCCGGCTGCCAGAGCATGGGGCCGTTTTCCGAGAGGAGTTCTCCGGTGGAGGAACAGCCAGGCTGGCCATGAAAGTTAGTCCTGCTCAATCTTCGTTTAGTCGCAAAGACTTACACCGCCGGTCAACCAAATCATAATCTCCTTGTCGGCGGCCTGGCTCTCGGATGGGAAGAACCAAAAGTATAGCTTTCCTGCCGTGTCATTGTTCTTGTCGATGTTGAGCAATCCCGCATAGGACTCGCCGACATCGAAGTCAACTTCAGGAATCTTTGTTCCATTGACAACAAATTCTAGGACAGTGGTGTTAGACAGTATCCAACGTTTCGTCATTAGGGTTATGTATCAACGCACTTTTGGTCTTATCTGTGAGGAACTTTGGTTCCCCTTGTGCCTTGTTCACGACATTTTGTTGAAAGTCGGCCTTCGCGTTTGAATACTTGGGCTGGTTCAGCGACGGTTTGTACTGTTTCAAATTCAAGGTTGCAGAAACAGCAACGGGAAGCAGCAAGGCCGCACGGAGCCAGCGCATATTTGGATATACCGGGAGGATGGAAATTGGGGGTCGTCGATACCCTTCTTGCCTTGTCGCTGATGATTACAGCATCACCCTCGACAAGTCTAACGGTCAAGCAGGTCGCAGGGAAGGTGGGGAAAAGCGAGGCGGCTCTGCACCGGACTTTAAGGAAGGGGAACAAAGAGGTGCCACCATTTAAGCATTCCTCGGAAAGGCGCGATGCGTGTTTCAAGATGGGCCCTGTTGGAGGGGATCAAGCTCGGACGTTGATCCCGATGAAGGGAAACGCACATCAGTGTCACCTCAACTCGGTTTCGCCCGAGCTTAATTCACTTGGCATCGGGCCGCTAGGTTTGGGGAGAGCTAGTCGTAATTTTGGAAATAAAGCGGAGGGTCCTGGAGCTTGAAAGGTTCTTAGGATGGGAGACCCTTGATGTATGACCGGTGAATTGGCTTGATTAGATGGTCTTCTCTGCTGGAGGTTGATATGAGGCACACACAGATTAGCTCCTCTGATCATCAAACCTGGACTGTTTCGGTAGACGGCAGACGCCGACTCTGGCGAGAGCTGATGATATCGCTGCTCAAAATATCTTCGCTAGAATACAGGCTGATCTTTAGACTCTTCAACTAGAGACGCGCTAGCTGGATCGCGTGTTGCCCCATCAATCAGCTACTTTCGGCTTCGGCGGCCTCTGAGCTAAGTCCAACGCTGAGGACTGTCCGCGCGAAGAAACCTCTCACTCAACCCTCCCGTCGGGAACTGAAAATACCTACCTAAACCCAATATTGACCTTGCGGTTCTGTCACACTTGCTCGGTAATGGAAAGTTAACTAGTCGGCCCAAGATAGTATCTCACTCTCTTTTTGTTAGCTGAGTAGTTTAGCTTCAAACAAATCATCATGTTTCTGATGAGCTTGTTCTTGCCTTGCGGTTAGCAGGTCCGCCTCATACTTAATTACGTATGGCCATGCCACGCAAGAGAATTTGCTTGATGACCGAACAGATTTCATAGTGAGTCCAAGATAAAACGGCCTTAAAATGAGGTGCCATAGTCATCAGCTCGGGTGGTACTCAGGAGCCGATCGTAACATGAAATTCTGTTAATTTTTACTGACTCTCAAAATAGATACTCGATTCTGTCCCTTCCAAAGACAGCTGGTCTATTGTCTTTCTCGTCTCTTGTCTTGTGTAAATCACGATAACCTAATACCCCACTTCGCCTTTGGACAGGAGCAAGATGTGACATGTTAGTACAAGATTTTCACAGATGCTACTTGTACAATGTACAACTGACTCTACTCAGGAATGCAACCTTCACCCATATAGTCTGACTATTTGTTTGATGAGTTTACAAAAGTGCAGGTCGACGCAAAGCGGCAGGAGATACTTGGTGATTGCGCATCATTGAGCTTCTGACATTTTGGTTGCAACGACAAGTAACTGGTAAGTCCATGTGAGATTACCGGTGTGCTTTTGGCCAGAGATCATACCGACTTCAGACTGTAGCCAAAGTCAATGGTTCATGTAATCATCTCGAGAAGGCTAGCAAATGCCATTATTTGATTGGGCTCTGACCAGTATTACGGTAAGATGCTAGAGTTTAGTGTAAGTAGTCACCTCATACACGCATTATCAGCGACGGATACCACAACCATAAAGTTTCACGAATCAGAGTCATTGTAAGGAATAATAGATCTTGTTGGACGGACTGTTGGGGATGTGTACACAGATCCCGGTGACAAGTGGGTGATCAAAAGAGTGATTCTATTCTGTGTTGTCTCTCCTAAGTTCGTACTATCTGCGTAGCGTTTTAGGATATGTCCTCGTACGTGACTAGAGATAATTACGTGTTAGAACATCTACGTCACTGGCCGCGTGCTTAGTTACTCCCTATTGTCGTACGTTTGGTTATAGTGGTTGTTATTCCAACAGATCTAAAATTTCGACAACTTTCACTGATTCGTCGGCGAGCCATCGTACTTTTAATGGCGAAACATGACCCATGGCTGGTACGAGCTCCGCACGCTTGACTATGCCTTGAACCTCTGACTCAATCCTGGAATTTGATCCTGTCTGTTCCATCGTAGTCATGAAAAAGAAGTGCTCGCAAGTTCTTGTCCTTCAACACATTGCAAGCCTCCCTGTGGCCTATCTTGAGCCCCGCTTCCGCGCAGATATGCACACCGAGTCAGTACGAATTCTCTCCACAGCAACTGCTTAGAGTTGTCAAATGGAAAGATTGAAAGATGTGTGGCATACCTGGTCATAGTAGACAGGGATTCGGCATTGCTTGCACTCTGCGTGGGCATCGGATGTCTTGCTGCAAGCGTAGCACTGGGCCTTGTCTTGGCCGTTGTGCTTATAGAGATCCTGGTTGAAGTGAATGAGCTTAGAAAGACTGACTGGAAATACCTAAGGCATTGCTATGTTAGAGATAGACTTCTCGATGAGACATGTAGGTTTTGGTTTTCGGTCATCGAGCCTTTTGTCTAAATTTCTCAGAACAAGACTTACACGATAGCCACTATGTTGGCCAACATGAACGTGGTCCCTCTTGTTGAGTACAGCAGTATAACGGTAAAAAAGATATAAGATGGCGATGGTATGGCCGGTCCTGAGGTAGTTGTCATCGTTACTTTTGGAAGAGCCCATGACCAAGACAGATAACTTATGGCCTTCAGTGTCATAGACTGTGAGGTGAGTATTACTCTCGATGACAACGGCGTTTTGAATCTCGGCCAGTGTGCACCAGTGATTTCGAATGTCGGGAGGACACGAAGTTAGCTCCTTAAGGCTAGGGAAAGAGCGCTTGTCTTTGAAGTCGGCAATTATCGACATTCTGTTACGAATGGTACGCTAGTCCGACTGCTGTGTGTACTCTTGGGGGCCGTTGTCGAGTGAGTAGGTCGGGATCGCAAGGCAGATTCCTAGAATAAGTAGTTTGGATACAGCTGATTCTCATTCCAAGTAGTAATCTGCCCTGGCAATATTCGGTATAAGTAGAATCGCAACACAAAAGCCAGGGAGTAAGCCAACGTGGTGCTGGAGCCTGGAAAAAAAGAAACCAAAAAACTGGATTTGGCATCCTTTGTTTACCTTCCTGCATTATTTGTTTGGGTCGAATCAATCCAAGGGAGAAACTTCCTTATCAAAGGATACCTCCGTGATGTAAGCATAGTGTTTGTCCCATATCTGAGACGAGCATGTTGTCGTTTTGTTCGAATTCGTCTCTGAACCCGGGTCGTCTTTCAGTCCAATCAACAATGTGCTTGCTGTGAGCAAGATGCAATGGCAATTCTCAAGTGTCCCAGGCGGAATCTGGGCATCTTTCAACGACAATACATTCATTGAAGCGCTTTCAAGGTATAAAATGGCACTTCTCGTAGGTATTAGACATTATTGGTAAGATATATGGACATGTACTTGAATCGAACCCGAACAGGGCATGTTCTTTGACCTCAACCAGTACATTATCGCACCATTGAGTCTGTCAAGGAAGATGTAGAGGTTCTGTACGCACTCGAAGCCCACGTAGCGAACTCCGCCATCCAAAGCCAACAGCAAGCAATCGGTATCAGGGCAATCAACACCCACCACAACTCCACGGTCAGCCGTCGCCTCAGCCAGCGTTGACACCTAGCACCAATCTTTCGTCGATGAGAGCATACAGAAGTGCCGTAGACTAGGCAGCCGAGTCCCGGCCTTGACTCACACTCCATGTGTTCACGCCGCCTCTGCATAAGAAGCCTAAAGCAAGAGTCAGACAGCAGGTACAGGGACATGATAGGGCAAGCATCAAGTAGCAGAGTGGAACTTTGGGATAACATACGGGACACTGCCTCTACAAAAGCGGAGATCGCTGCCGAGATCACATCGTTTATCGTTGGGACACTCCAGGTGAAGCATGCGGCGCTCCATGAGCCACTCCACCTTGAGCCGTACGCCCGTGTCGACTAGGTAATAGAAGTAGCTACTGGTGTGTTTCAGTGAGAGGGCGTCGGGGTAGATGAGTTGCTTGGAGATGAGAAGGTGGATTTCTGCGGGCAGATCTGTGAAGCCGGCGAGCTGGGTGCGGTCGGAGGCCTCCTTATCGGCAGACCGGGGCGACCTTTCTGCTGCCGGCGCCGGAGTGGGTCGCTTGCGGGCGCGGACGGCATCCATTGTCGCGGGATTGCGATAAGCTAGCTGCGGGTTCGACGTTAGGAGATGCAAATGCAGGTCTACCTTAGTGACCGGTATTTCTCGTTGTATTTGTTTCGCGCGACTCTTACGTTCAGAAGCTGAGAAGCCTGTGCGTCAAAAGGCCGATCATTGGGGAGAGGATACGAAGGCGCCTATATAGGAACAGAAATACTGCTGCCTTCGAGTGAGTGTTTATGGGGACTTTGAGGCGTGGCATGTTCCTAGCGTGTCAGACACGAAGTTTCAGTCCGTCCGTCACCAGGAATACGTTGCACTGTCAGCCAGGCAGATGCCGACCGTGGCTGGTTTCAGGAACCGCTTTGCCGAATCCAGGGCGTTTAACGTGGCTGATTTCAATACTGTAGCATTCCCCAGGTTGCCGCGGTGCGCCTTGTTGCGCCTCGTTTTGTTCCAAACAAGTTAGCCTTCTTGCTGCTTTAATGCTAATCATCGTCCGAACAAACGCTTTAGCCCTGTAAGAGTGCCATTTCATGTTAAAGTGCGCCTGTGAAAGGTGTCTAGGTGCTGCTTTTGTCGGATTGGAAGTCCAATTCGGCCGCGAGTAGGGGCAGAGCATGGGCCACCTCGAGGGGGTACACTTAGACCTCGACTACCCACCCAACCTCCGGTTGGAATCTCCCTTCTACTCCTTACGCAGAATCAATCAATACAGAGATATTGATACTTCGTCACCCCCAGGACCCTACGGTTCGAACCAAATTCCCTGTGAAAGGAATACCAACAGCTTTTAAGAGACATGTTCCGACTGAAAACATGGGCGGCGCATGCTTTCCATGTTGACTACCTAGTGTCGAATACAGAAGACACATAATAAAATGTGCTCAACGGCTTGATCCACATGCATGCATGCGTGATCCGTGAAGTTGGGTTGCGAAAGTACATGTACACCCCTCGTTGATGCCGTGGACCTTCCATGTCCTGGGGTGAAGCCTTGGGGGCTCCATTTGGGATTCCACACTTCATTTCCATCAACTCATTTTCCTGTTAATTTACAGAGAAGGTCTTCGCTTCACTTGCTTATGCTTGTAAATGATTGAGTTGTAACTTCAGATGTGACCCACGCTAATGCAAGTACCTGATTACTCTTCTCTGCTAGATCCGATGCCGATGCAATGCTCTTGCCTCCCACATGGCTTACAAAACCCCCAAATTTACAAAACACTGCTTTGGCTTCCGGGTCAACGTTTCGATGTCATCGTAGTTGGACAGGCTCTCATCGCAAGCCCGAAAATCAAACGACCACACCAGCAGAGTTACTAAAAGCCTGAGCTCCAAATACGCCAACTTGCGACCGAAGCAGCCTCGAAGACCGAGACCAAAAGGTAAAGTCGGCCCAGCCAACGCGTCAAAGACGAGCTCGCCGTTGTCGCTCTCTGTGAGCCAGCGCTCAGGCCGGAACTCGTCCATGCCCTCTTGGCCCCACGCCCGCAAGCCGCGCTCCTCTGCTGCTGCCCGAGACGAAGAACTCCGCAATTTCTCGTCGACTTCGAAGCTTGGTTCTGTGAAACTGGGGCCCTTGTTGGGAATGAAGACCGTTGTGCCTTTGGGAATATGGTGTCCCAGGACGATGGTGTCTTCTTTGCACTGCCTCTCTTGGCCAATAGCGGTGTGCGCGAGTCGGAGCATTTCTTCGATAACGGCCTCAAGGAATGGAATGTTAGCTCCTGTGATCTCTTCGTGCGATGGGAGGCGTTCATCTTCGACGGCGTTTAAGTGAGCTGCGCGAAGGCTCTTGCGAAGTTGTTGTCGACAAGCAGGGTTGTCGCTGAGGAATTTCACCCCCCAGCAAAGGGTTGTACTTGTGGTATCATGTCCCGCTACGACGAATCCAAGCAACTACAGCAAAAAATTGTCAGCCAAAAGCGGCAAAGGGCGTACTTGAAGAAGAGATCCTCACCTCGTCATTCATTGCATCAGACCAATACACTGGCTCGCGGTTCTCTTTGCCCGCAAAGGTGGTTTCCCTGTGGATAATCAGATCCACTGCAGACTTGACGTAGCTGTCGCTACTGTCCTGAACCTGACCCTCGTATCTCTCAACAGCTTTCTGGACCTGCTCTTTGAAGAATGCATTTCTCAATGCCCTCAAGCTTCTGACACTGGGCTTGAGGCCGATAAACCACCATGCTATGTCAGGAAATCCAGTTGCGGCAACTCCAGTGATATTATCGGCTGTCTTAATCGCCGCCTCCAGAGTGGGATGAATGGGCGCAACGGGGAACTCGGCAGCCTTTGCGTTCTGTGCATTCTTTTCACTATTTCCTTGAAGCATTTCGATCTGTGGGATCAGTGCTCGATGTTCGACACTGGTACCAAATCCAAAGTCGAAGACGGCGTCAAGTGCCGTGTAGAAGATGTCACGTTCGGCACTGAAAGGCTTTCCAGCGGCAGCCGTTGCCTTCATCTTCCACAACTCCAAAAGATTTGTTGCGCTCTTGTAGATATTCGGGGCCGCGACGTTGTTGAGGAAACTCGGGGTCATCAGGTCTTGGAGCAAGCGCCGGCGGGCCTTCCATTGCGGGCCCGTCTTCAGGTTAATATGGAAGCTGGGGGCCTCGCCGCTCAGGAGGCTGATGGTGAAGTCGGAACGGTCAAACTCCTTGCGACGCATGAGTATATCCTGCCCCTCGTGGAAGTCGGCGACGAAGACCGTCGGCTTGTGGAAGGGCTCGAGGAAGAACTGTGACACGGGGCTGTCATGTCGGCGCGCTTGTTCAATCATCCATCTGAAGGGGGTTTCGGGAGATTCTTTCTGGAGTCTGGGGATGTCTCCGAGAAGGGACTTGACAGCCTCTTCATTGTATGGGATTCCGGCAATCGGCTTAGGAAGAAGGTAGTTGTAAAGAGCATAAAGCAAGCTGACTAGTAGTGTGGAGACAGCCGTAGCTACTACGCTGAAGGATGGAATCTGTTCTACGGTCGAACTTGTTGTAGTAAATTTTGACATTTTCAAAGATGCGATGAAAATCAGACCAAGGTTAGACTGAAAAGCTCAAAAGCAAATTCATTCGAAGTTTCGGCAGTTTGGCGACTTTATACCAACAAGGGCGATCGGCATATGAGTCCGCGTCCGCGGAGTGCCGACACATTGGGGTCCACGGATGACATTGCGGAGCTGTGGGCCGCGGAAACCGCACCTCTGAAGCCAAGAACATAACGTTTGCGGACACCCTACGTCCACTACCCAACAATGATACTTCAGATGTATGGAAAGAATAGGAGATTATGTATACCTTGGATTTACCTGGAATTGGATAGGTCAAGCCCCTTGAATGCCTCCTCCGAGTCCCCGCTCCCGTCTCCACGGTCCGGCAGGTAGGTTGTGGGTTTCTTCCGCGCTTTGACTCCCCGATCAGGAAACGCCTTTTCTGGAGAAGCGACGCGGACGCGGACTGATGATCGCGTCTGACGGCGGTCCATATCCGGCGGCAGTGCGGCCCAAATTTCATTAAAATATCAGCCGTAGCTCCGTTGGGAAGAGATGTTCTGTCTTGTATGCGGTTGCTCATGAGCTTCAGTTGAGCACTGTTGCGATGGTCTTCGGTAGACATGATGGACCAAGCTTATTGCCACACCTTCAGAGACCATGATGATGAGTGTGCTTTGCTTGGCATCTTGTATGTAAAATAGATGTCGCCAGCAGTTCCTAACACCCTTGGTCGAAGAGTGATATAAATAAGAGACATCCATCAGAAGAGGTTCTTCTGATTATCTTACTACAACTTCAGAGGCATACGTCTCAATAGATATTGCTTTCTTCTTCGAAAGTCCATACGGAATCCATATTTTCCATTATCATGTCTGTCAATAATAAAACCATCGCAATCACTGGAGCGGCTAGTGGAATAAGCCGAGCTACTGCTGTTTACCTGGCCAGCAGAGGAGCATCATTGGCGATATCTGACGTCCAGACAGAAGCCCTCAAAGCCGTTGCCGAAGAGCTGAAGACTTCCAATCCAGGTATTCGTGTTGAAGCCACAGTGGTCGATGTCAGCAAGCCCGAGCAGGTTCGAGACTGGATCCAAAACACTAAGAAGACCTTTAGGCGCCTAGATGGCGCTGCCAACATTGCCGGAACTGCCGCGTCAAGCCGGGTCCCTCTGGAGGCCCAGTCTGACCAAGAATGGGAGTTCTTGCTCGGTATCAACCTTTCGGGAACGATGTTCTGCCTGCGAGAAGAGCTGAAGCACATCAGCGATGGCGGTTCCATTGTCAATGCCTCCAGTGTCCTCGGCCTGAGAAGCTTTCCTGGCCACGGGGGCTCGGCGTACGTTACGAGCAAACACGCCGTCCTGGGACTAACAAGGAATGCGGCAAGAGAGTACGGTAATCGACAAGTGCGGGTCAATTGTATCAATCCGTGAGTTAAGTTCTGAAGGCCCGGTGTGAGTATCCCATCGGGTGCGGATGGACAGCACTTTCGCCAAGGGCGGGGTAGAGCCAATAAGAGCTTGCAAATCTACAAAGTTAACCAATAGGGCTGCAGTACCTCTGTTTCCTACAGATTTTGGGTATGCCAGAGGTACCAGCAATCTTTATTAATACATAATGGTACATTACAATCTAAGCAACCCTTTCGAGTTGTCTGCCGTCGTTGCCGAGTGATGGTATTCCCAGATATCTCCTTTAAGACCTTCCTACTACCACAATAGGTGCAAGGTGAAGTTACCTTCTTTGATCCCTTCCTATGCTGTTCCCATGGGATAGAACTGTTCCTCTTGTCTGTAGCCCGTCCAGGCCGTGATAGTCTTCGCCCGCCTGCCAATGGTCCAAACCGTTGAATAAGCTGGGCAGCCAGCAACTGCCGCCATTGGCAGTGGGTTTTCACCTTTTTCCACCTAGGGCTGCCCCAGAGCTGCAGTAGGAAGCTATTCACAACTAGCACTTCCAGTAAGAAATTCCAGGCAACTGACTGCCAGCCCCCTCGACGAATAGGGTGGTTGTATTGATAGTAGGACCTCATCTGGTCACTCACATCAACCCCATTCATCTTGTGATTATATTCATCGATTGCGCTAGGGATTGGGAGGTCTTTGCGGACATCCGGGCCGAAGACTTCCCGGGCGGCCTTCTTAGCAGCGGTATCCCCAGCCGGGCGGCGGCGGCTGCGAGTAACTTCCTGGCCGTCCTGGAAGACAGTTGGCAGGAAGAGTACGAGGGTGTTATCCTTCCAGGTGAATTAGTTGAACTATTTCCTAGTTAGCTGGGCTGGGCAGGGCTGGGCGGGCTAGCAGCCTACCTCCCCATCTAAAGTAGGAATACAGTGTATATCCCCCCATGGGATACCCCGTCCTTCAGTCTCTTTCTCAGCAACTAGGATCTTATCTATCCCACTATCATTCCGGCAGGTACCAGAAGCTCCGACCTGTTGGTTCCGCAGGGTACGAAAGAGACGTATAGAGGCGAAGAGGTTGTCAAGAAATACGTGGTAGGTTGCAGCTGGAAGTAGGGAAACAAGCGTAGTTACTACCCGCTGCGTTGGTGTCAATAGAGCCAGCTTTCCAGCAGCTGCCCCGGCTGGCCGGGCCTGGGGTACTAATGCGTATGGGCCCTTTCCATGTACGTGCCACAGCCACCGTATACAGTAGCCAGACTGGGCAAGGATCCAGATCTTATAGCCAGTTGGGATAGGTTTCGTTGGAACCGTTGTTGTCTCAAGAGATCGGCCTGTAAATCGGACCATAGCCTCGTCAACTGTAAGGTCTGAACCAGGTATATAAAGGGAATCCCCAGTCTCTTGGATGTAGGCTGACCACTGGTTAACCTTCCGGTATACATCTAGCATTTGATCTTGGGTCTGGCCCCGGCCCCGGCTGGGCTGGGCGCGCTGCACGGGCTGGAATTCCGCAGTGTTGAATATCCGTAGTCGCTGGAGTAGCAGTTGGAAACGGTCCCGGGACATAAACCGTGTAAATAGGTGGATATGATCCTCTCTCTGCTGCTGGGTTGACCAGTAGGTTGATAATCTAAATTCTCTATGGATCCCTATATATAATAGGATCCCTAAGAAGAGGTAGATCTCGTCTGTTGAAGTCTTCCTCCACTCATATATTCTAGCCCGTCTAGCCCTAGGGCCCTCCTTAGATAACGTGCTGCATTCGTCCACTGGGCCCACTGCTCTACGAGGCTCTGCGGAACGTATTGGAGGAAGAGTTCAAGCGGGCTTGCCGGCAGCCCCCGTACCTCTTTGGCCCAGGCCGGCACGTCAAATGGCCGAAAGGAACCCGGAAGGCCATGCTCTGTAGCTGGAGGTTCGTGGGGCCGGACTGTTGCTGCGTCACAGCATTCTGGCGTACAGTCTGCATTGCAGGCAGCAGTAAGGTCTTCTGGGTGGACCTCAACTACTATACAGCTGCGTACAGAAGTAACAGAAGCATTAGATGCAATAGATATATCAGAATCACCAGAAGACATCATAGCATCATTCAAAATGGTAATAATAGTGGTGATAATAGGCAAAAGAACATAGGGATAAGTGACGTATCGTCAAGTACCCCTTTCAACGCGGGGAAAAAATGGGTAAAAGTGGGTATTTCTTGGTCTTGGCGAAAGTGCTGTCCATCCGCACCCGATGGGATAGACTAATTCTGCCGATACAGGGGTGGCATTGACACGCCGATGATGCAGCCAAAGCCAGGTGGAGCGGATCCCATGGGGGGCATGCTGCCACCGATTCCTCGCATAGGGAAGCCCGAGGAAGTTGCTGCTTTGGTTGGGTTCTTGCTCGGTGATGAATCTACCTACATTACGGGAACTTCTATTGTCATCGATGGAGGTCTTGCCTGCTAAACATTCAGTTCATACCACCTGTGTCTGAATCAGTAGAGAGAGCTCTAACGTGGTTGATAAGCGAGTGGATCAGACAAGCGAGTGGATCAGCCGACCGCGACCACAGCACATTTGCGACCGATACGCAGCACTAAGAAAAGTAATTCAATTGAAACTATTTAAGATCCTCTTCTTCAGACATTTTTTCAGCAAATTGACATGTTCGTGCATTATGACCAGTGTTCCCACAGACGCCACATCGCCGTTGGCCCGTCTCGGTCCTCGGTCGGCGACCACTACTCCGGCGTGTTTCCTCCTCGATCTGAGCTGTTGCTTCTCTCTGCGACTGAAGGTCCTCAGCCTCAGCTATAGTAAGACTTCCTCCTTGTCTGAGACGTGTTTTCTTAGCCCTCCGGCGCCGGCTTAGTAGGTTGTTTTCCTCACGAAGGATTTTGTTCTCAGACCTTAATAACGCAATCTGGTGCATAAATCCACGCGCCCCCTTTGATAGATGCTCAACAGCTTCAATAATTGAAGTTGGTGAGCTATTCTGATGGCGGGAGATCCTCCTTTTGATGAGTTCAGACTGAGAAGATGCTTTTGTTGGGTTGTTTGGCGTCTGAGAAGTCCACGCAGGGGGTGTTGTTGGGAGGGATCCTGGAGGTGTTGGAGTGTGTAACCTGATATCAAGCTTTGAAAGCACACTTTCGGCACTCAAAGGGACAAGCCCAGCCCCTCTGAAACCTCCCTGAATGTTCTTTTCCGTAATAGCTTGGGCAAAAGCCTCGCGAAACGCAGGGAAGAAGTCTTCCTTTGTAATATGCGTATTACCCCGGCGCATCTTATCCTCAATTTGTCGACCATAAGCCGTCTTTAGTGGCCCAAAGCACCCAACGTCTAAGGGCTGAAGCAGATGAGACGAATGGGCCGGCATACAGAGTGTGACGATATTGTTTTCCTTGCAATATATCTCGAAGTCGGCAGCGTGGTGACTTTCATGCCCATCGACGACGAGGAGGCGATAACTGCCAGTTGCACGCAGTTTTGTATGCCGATCAAAGTGCTGGAGCCAATCTAGGCCTCTTTCGTTTGTTGTCCATCCGTTGTCAGACGTTGCAATGACCCAGTCGCGTGGGAGATTGGTTTCCGTGTACCAGGTGGAGAGGTGATATTGGCCTGCAACGATGATATACGGCGGGACGCTGTAGCCCGACGAACTAATGGCCTGAATGACTGTAACCCATTCACGGTCACCAGGCTGCATCATTTTCGTGTTTGAACGCCTTTCGGCGCTCGTGGCGACCATCCCAGATGCAATCTGGCCCATCATAAACCCAGTCTCATCAAAGTTATAGATATCAGAGTCCACAATACCATATTTCGCGATTGTGTTCGCCACAAGGCGAAACCACGCGTTTATGGCGTTTGGATCTTCGCATTGGGCCCTCTTGTAGTCGTACTTGCGAAAAAAGCGCGTCTGGAGCTGTGGTTGTCGCTTGACGAAGTTCGAAGCCCAGCGCTTCCCAACTGGGGGCGCGTTGCGGTCGGCGAGCAGTCGATTAGCCATTTCTTCCACACCTCTAATGCGGGGAGGGAATGATCGGGAATCTAGGTCGAGAATATACTCAACTAGCTTCTCTTCTTCAAGCGTAGTCAAATTCCGCGATCTAGGCATAGTGTCGCGTCGTGATAACTTTCCCCTTAGACGATGGCGTAAGGTTGAGAAGGGTACTGAGTAGATCCGGGATGCCGCTCGGATACTAAGATTTGGTGTCGTTTTGATAGCCTGAACCGCTAAGGTTAGCTGGCCTTCATTACTTTGTGATGACATGCTTGGTTGTGGCGTAACGCCTATGAAGGGTGGAAGATATGTTGGTCGCGGTCGGCTGATCCACTCGCTTATCTGATCCACTCGCTTATCAACCACGTTAGTCATAATACAATAGGGTATTATGCAAAAGATTTTTAGGCATTCTAAAAGTGTTGTCTGAAATGAGTATTCCCTTGCTAGAAGTGATAAATTTGAGAAGGAAAAAAGATCACAATAAGTAGTTTACCTACCTACTTAAGTATCGGGCCATCTGCTAAAGATTGTGGATCAAAACTCAGTTCTCTCCCGTTCCCATACTTCGCTAGGATGCATTATCCTGGATCATGGGCTGTAGAGGATCCAATCGTCCACCTCGACACTCAGCCTCTCTCATTTTGCACTCAGCTCGAGCCATATCCTGTGAACCCAGTAACTTCACCCACGATGGGAAGTATGAGCCCAAGCCTGTCACGCGGCCATGGCCGGGCGGACTAGCCAATCCCAACCTCGCGAGTCTGTCTCTGTCCCAAATTGCGAACCCCATTTTCCTGTAAGGCTCGAAACCCGCATATTTCATCGGCGAGTGCGCATTCCTCCCCATGCTGTCCACGATCCATAGACTGTCTGCCGGTAATACCAACGCAGACCTACGACTGTCGGGAGTTGCGGGCATTCCTCGGGCCGAAGGTGAGATGTCCTCGATAGGGCTTTCGGGTGGCGGCATCCGATCCACGAGTGCGGTAACACTATTTGTCTTGGAGGTAGAAAGACTCTGGAGGTAGTCTACTGCCGTCATCACCTCATGATAAGCGGCCTTGAAGTTGGTGCTAGTGCTGTCGTAAAAGGACTTGATATCAAGAACCTCCGTTTTCAAGTCCTTCCCCTCTCCTTTTGTTCCGAGGAGCTGAGACCTTCGCGCTGCCAAGTTCATTTCGAGTACAACTTGAACTCGCCAGAATGCTCGAATCATCCGCTGTTCTTCGCACCATGACAGCTTGTCTGTCGCTGAAAGGTCCGGGACGTCCAAACGGCCTTCTGTCTTCGTAGCCACCAGACTGTCTTGATAGTGGCTGATGCAAAGTCGGCTCAAAGAGTGTAAGCAACTAGCTGTAGCGAGTATCGACCGCATGATTGTCAGATCGGGACTCTTGGTTGAATCCATGGCCGGCAGAATGTAATCTGAATCCGAGCTCTGGCCGAGGACGACGCCGGCTTCGCGATCACTGATCCTGGCGGCAAGTGTGAGACGGGGCGTGTTCTGATACGCGCCTGCGCGTATTGAGATGATACATCGTATAATTTTCTGTGTCTGTGACGGAATGTTATTCTCTGTTACGGCAGGCCAGAAGATGTCGTCACTATATTGGTTGAAAACCCGGCTTGCGATGGGAGAGGAGATAAGGAGGTTCCAGAGACAGTGGACATCGTCGATTTGGGTTAGTATTTGAAGGAGAACCTCGGTCGGGAGGCCCTCGAATTTGATATCTTCTTTCGATTCCATGATTCTGCAGTGAATAGTTGTGTATGTGAAAGGTGCATTGATTGTGATGCTTCCGTGCTGTTAGATAATCGATGCCCCGGATCGGAGCTAACACTTCGGACGGTTGACCCCGCATTCACGCAGTCGGCGGCGACACACTTCGGATTCCGACCATGCCCCCTACGTGAGGTAGGGTTCACCGTGCTACTGTCGATCCCCGTCGGATCTTGACGTCAATCATTTAAACCACGTTAAAACTCAATCGATGACAGACTAGTCATCCCTGCCAAATCCCGATATCGGGACTCGGACGACTGGTGCTGATAATAGCAAAGCGAATCATACGCAACTGTCTTCAACCTACGATTAATCATTGGAGGTATTATTATACAAGATAGGGAGAAACAAGAGTCCATACCTAGCTGCGCGCATTGCATTAACGCGGGTCGACACTGCCGTCCCTCGACTTTCTGGTGTGGCAATATCTTCACAAGCTCGACTGGACATTGACAAGGTAGTAGAGAGGGTTTTGGAGATTGAATGTTATTTGAGTTGCTAAGTATCTTCCGGATCCCAAGGCAGAATTTCTGACTACGTTCCCCTTCAAGAGGCTAACAACGACATTTGTGAACCTCGAGGTTTTGGCTTAGCAAGAAACCTAAGTACGAAGTACCCAAGGCTTGTTACCTTGACAAATTCCGTGAGTTACTGATGAGTTGAACAAAGACTAGGCTAGCAGGAATATCTACCACGATCGCTCACTTTATGGCCGTCATATTCTGCTCATTTATAATGCTTGGTCAATCTCCGTCTCTAGTGTCCAAATGCCTAATGCAATGCCGGCAACTGATGCAAGCCCTCACCTCAACGATCTCTGATTCCTGAAACTACTTTTAAGTACTTAAGTATCTAGCCGCCTCTGACTGTCAAAGCTCTCAGCTATGAACGTATTGACTGACATGGGTATTTCCTCACACCAATTTTCTATGCGTTCCTCCTATGCGTTCCTGGTCTGTGGCAACACATACTTTCGAACTTATCCAGAATCAGTCACTGTATATGCTAGATGCGCAAGTCTGTCTTGTTGAGATAGTGTGTTCTACATGCGACAATGCCGTTCAATGCACATATCCCAAGATCAAGCCCTGCGAGATATCCACAGACACATGAGTTTTCCGAAATGAACTCTGAAAAACATCAAGTGGCTGAAAATACGGTGAAGATATTGTCAATGACAGCGGAGGATCGAGCCATCACATTTTAGGATCAAACGGCAGTCAAGAAGCTGGAGTGACATTTCTCCCTACCTGAAGTCCAAATGTCTAGCAACATGCTATCTGAGAGAGGCAACTCATAAAGTCGTATTTAACTATTCCAAAGATTGGGTACTACGCGGTTCCCGGCGGCCGCTGCGCCGTGGAATACTTGGTTGACAGCAAATACGAGAACTCGGGATATTCGGACTTTTCGGATTTTTGTGGTGTGGCGCAGAACTTCTGTTGTTAATCATTCGTGATGATGAACGTCCAAGCCTCATGCATTTCTCCATTTCACGTGATCAAAGTTGTACAATCAGTCCGAGTACGTCGGACTCGGGTGATGTACGAGGTGTGCGAGAAGTCCGAAGTCTCAAGCTTAGTATTGCATCTCCCACCGGCATAGTCAGGAGGAAGTACAAAAAGTCTTGAGGGACTGCATCTTTTCAATTGCGAATCACGGTTTTAAAGCTCATTATCTTCTATCACCTCATTCTTTTGCGATTTGGAGGGGCTTATTGTTGTGCTTCTTGGTGTAGGTAGCTTGGCCGGCACACGATCATCAACTCGAAGCAACCCGCTACAGCCTACACTTTCATTGGCCGCCCCGAAATAGTAAAGCTCTGAGGGTGGGGCTGACATGGACGGACTCAACTCGACGACGGGCGCTGGGGGAGCAGAAGCGGCTGCTGGGGCAGCGTTTGACTTCCGACTTTACCGCTACACGCCATCCCTTCCGGCCGCCATAGTCAGTGCTGCAGTGTTTGCGGTTCTGACCATCCTTCACTTCTGGCGGCTGTATCGAGCCCGAGCCTTCTACTTTACTGCCTTTGCTCTTGGCGGTGTTTGTGAGTGTGGCCACGTTTAAAACCTACCCCTTACTCGGGCCCCCGAGGCGGCTTGTTCCATTGGCGGCTTTGGAGAACTACCCTGCCCTCTGTCGGGAATGAAGATACTGACTTTGACTGGATAGTTCAGACGATAGGGTACTGCGGACGAATATGGTCATACTTTGATACCATGGCCATCGGCGGCTTCGTCATGCAGGCCATCCTAATTCTTGTTGCCCCGGCTTTGTACGCTGCTTCGATCTACATGATTCTCGGCCGCCTGATTCGAACCCTCCGAGCCGACCACCTTTCTCTGTTGCCCGTGCCATGGGTCACCAAGATCTTCGTCACTGGAGACATTGTCTCGTTCACAATGCAGGCGGGAGGAGGTGGAATCCAAGCAGCAGGGACTTTGGAGCTCTACGACATTGGTGAGAAGATCATCATAGTCGGTCTTCTAGTTCAGATCGTTGTCTTTGGGTTCTTTATCGTTACAACTATCCTATTTTATCACCGAATCAGTCGAAAGCCTACGACAGTTGCCATCGAAGGGATCATACCCTGGCGAAGATACCTCTGGGCTCTTTACAGCACCAGTCTTATCATCCTCGTACGAAGCATCTTCCGAGTCATCGAATACCTCCAAGGTAACCGCGGGTACCTTATCTCGCACGAAATATTCCTCTACATTTTCGATACGATTCTCATGATTGCAGTCATGGCAATTTTCCTGGTTTGGTATGTTGAAGACTTGGAACAAAAGGCATCAAGAAAAGACAGAGACACTTTAGGGTCCAGCGATAGTGCCTGCATGTTGGAAGAGCTTTCTGGAAGGCAGACTACCCGGAAATAGGCTGCAAATAATGGGAACGCCAGTCCTCCGTCGGTTGGGGAAAGTGTCGCTAGACTGCGTCAAGTACGAAAGAGAAGCGTTGCATCTAAGGTTAGGCTCAACGCAGACAGGTTGCCTGCGGTACCAAAGAGCAAATAGATCAGGCATTAGAGGTGTTTTTCATAGACAAAGTTCATTGGTTTCCATTGCTGAATCTTTGACCCATGACCTATGCTCCTGGTCTAGCATACTATACGTCTCTGCATAGAGATTGTTTGCCCAGCCATCCAGCCACCAGCGACTGCGCAAGCGCTTGAGAAGCATGCAAAAATACAAGAATATGACCAGCGCCTTTTGTCTATTCTCTCTCAACAATGGAAGGAAGTCATCTGCAACCATGGCAATCCAGACGAAGACATCAGTAATGTCTTGAGGCTCTACAGAATCGTAGAAAGCGCCATAAGACTTGTAGAGCTCATTGATGGCCCTGTTGTATATCTCCAGAAGCCCGTTGTCTGGCTCTGATGCGTTGATATTTGCTTCCAGGTCTCCAAGATACGTGTGGTGATATGGACCTTCACGATACTGGAAGTGTGCAGTAATCCGCGTGATGATCGGTGAAATTAGGAGATTATCGTTTGGTTCCCCCACAAGATACCGGGTCCCGCAGAATAGGACTATCCAGTCGGGAGATTGACCTGCACTGGCTAGCGGGGATTCGTGTAGATATTGCGAATTGGCTAGAACTGCCAGTGGAGAAACGAATCAGCGTACTATCTCAGTATCGAAACCGAGAACGAGAACTCCTACCAATGTAAATAGTCAAGACTGAGAAGATGAACAAGTGTGCTTTATTCTCGTCTTGGACGTGCTCCATCAAGCCGACAGCTGTTCTTGAGGATATCTCGTGATGCAGCATCGACTTTTCCAGCAACTGGTCTTTCCTGTCGGGGTTCAGATACGCGAGATGCAGTGCTGCGAGCGAGAGAATGCTCCTCATGACATAGTCGGTTTCCAGCCCGAGTCTGACGACATTCAGCCGCCAGAATTCCCCGAGCAGCGGGTTGTCCGATAGAGTATGCGCGGTGAAGTTGCAGTAATGATGCAGGAGTTCAAGGTCGAGAAAGTTCAACTCGCCCGCATGCTGAGAGAGGGTCAGCATCGGGTCGAGTGATGGCGAGGCTAGAAACCCGCAAGCCACGCCATGTTTGAGGCAGTTTTTGCAGGCTGGTCGCTGCTCATCACACTAGAAGAGTCTCGCAAGTCAATTTCCAGTTCCTGAAGATTTGAGAAGAAGTTTAGGTATTCATCCCCACCGGCCCGACTCCCGAGACGGAGACATGGCATAAGCATGGCGGCTTCTAGACCAGGTCCTCTGATCTTGCCACTACCACACACTGTCACGCGTGCGATCCAGCCGGGCACAAAAGTAGTAACTGACTTGCTTACCTTGATCTTTCTCGCTTTACAAGTCTTACAGCCTGTCCGAGTTTTTGGATGCGCCCGTCGTGACGGGTTTGGTTGCATGTTCGTACTCGGTGTTGTCCGAGGACAGTTACGCGACGGATCGAATCGGTGAATAACGATTCGTTGAGTAGGTGTTACACCACGGCGTTTCCGCCATGACAACAGATTAGACAAGACGAATCGCTCTGGATCAAAGTCCGCTCTGGTGCAACGTAGGAAGATACGGCTGTTGATTAATGGAGGGGACGCATAACCTGCACCCAACCCGCGGACGCCTTCGTACTCTAGTCGTATTCGCACTTTCTCGGGTGGTGTAAGGGGCTAGCCTAGACGGACAAGTTCCATTGGAAAACTCGGCGCCACATTCAAGCGTCACCTTGTCTTGGATCGACTGCTGATATTCCGCTGAGTCAGGCAGACTAGTAAACGTGGAGCAGCAAAAACTCCTATTCTTGGTTGGATAATCTTGTGTTTGTCGGCGCAATTCCGATCTAAGTTACCACTAACGGTCCACCCCACTACCAGCCGTGCCAGCCTAGCCCCCACGGAAAATAAAATATCAGAAAAATCGGGTTAAGCACGATGAGCGAGCACAACGTAGAGCTCGTCTAGCAGGTCCTCCGACTCTGAAACCCAGCGTCTGTACCGCGACCAACCAGATCGCCGCCTAAGTAACCGGCTACGTGTAGAGCTTTTGCCTGAGCGCCCTGAGCCCGGCTCGTGTATCCGATCACACCATCTCGTGTCCGCCAACCTAGCAAACCGCAAGGCATCTCTTATTCGCGAACCTCAAAAATACCCGTTCCCCGGGAGACTAAGTTCGTGGTCTGATGATGTATAAAGCTTGGCACTTGCTTATCCTTTGGGCATGACTGCTGCCAATGAGTGTGTGTACTTCACGACTTGGGGTTTCAAGTCAAAATCCTCATTGCTTGTCAGATAATATGCTTCCCTGTCAAAAGATGCCGTCAAACTTATGTCTGCCGCGTCGCGACCAGTGACCTGGCTATGCCTCTCGTGAGGGGGCAGGATTTCGCGACCTCGGTAACTATACGACAGTACAGGGGCGTCTGATAGGTCGCTACAATTCTAATTCTTTTACATTTTGGCGTGATTCCACGAGTCATGGGCGTGTACATGGTTTAACAGACCACGCTGTCCTAGTCTGGAGTGATGAAACCATTAGTATGGACGATGTCTGATTTGGTGCTTTGATGCGGATTCTGCCGGCTGTAGCTAACTAAGCGGTCGGAGTGCGGGCCGCTTGTAAGATGTGCCAGCCTGACAAGCCAGTCGGGTCTGATCTTTACATCTATGGTCTATCCCCTAAGTCCCCAGCCCCCCACCAACTTCTGTCGGCAGGCAGTATCAGCATGATTTTGCAGTTTTGCAGCTCAGATATTGAAGCCTGAAGGCCCGGACTTCCCCGGACTTCCGGGTCAGCTGTCCGGAAATACGGCAATAGCGGCATCTTTAAGCGGGTTTCCGAACGTCAGAATAGACTTCACGTAACGTCCTTGGGTAATAATAGTACGTGTCAAATGTCAAAGGTCGAACGAGACCTTATGCCCGTGACCCTCATGATACCAGTGTAGAGTAGCCTGACTTTGAAACTTTTCTTTGACGATGTTCGCAACTTCGTCCGCGACAATAACCACATAGAGTGTACCTTGAGTGAAATCTATCCCATCGACTGCGAGATGACGTCGGTACATAGCTACGTACCGTTCATGAGAGGAAGCAGCAAATCACACATTATTCCATGATATTCCGATTAGAATCCGTTTTAATTCCGGCCGATGCACCCAATCGAATAATTCGGCTATTGGAGAAAACTGGAGGCTTATGTACCGACGTCATCTCGCAGTCGATGGGATAACGTAACTTAATATGTGTGAGGCGCTGTTGCCTGTTTCATTGGGGAGCTGGGATCAAGAGTCCGGACTACTACGTAACGTATCGTTATGGAGGCATAGAAAGCCAACCACCCCGCTCGTGAACTTGCTAGGCCCGCGTAAATGGAACCCTAGTGGGGGCATCTTGGGTTTGGCCCCGTCACACATTCGCTACATAGATTTCAGCCTCAAGAGCTGTTGTCGAAGATAGTGGCGGACATAGCTCAGTTGGGAGAGCGTCAGACTGAAGTGGAATTCATTCCTGAAAACTTCATTCAAATCATCTGAAGGTCGTGTGTTCAATCCACACTGGCCGCATCTTCTATTTTTGCACATGAGAGAGAAGTGCTCATGACCTTCTTCTACTTCACCTTTCCATTTAAATTGAGTGAGAACTGGCCGCAAATGTTCAATAGCTACGTTTAGGCGGCGCAGATAATTAGGGTAACGGTTAAAACAGGGGCTGGCCAGATGATGAAGTTCATGCTTGTCAGCGATATTGTGCGCATAACGCGCACGAAGAGTAGACAGACTGATCATTCTACCTAGTACGAAGAGGCGAGCAGTCAGCCCACTTTTGGTCCCCTCCTCCATCGTCTAGGTTGTAAGTAATATGTCATAAAACCTGTTCGACATCGTGGCTTTGCTTCTACAAACTCCAAGACAGGGACCTAGTTTCAGACAAGGTGTAAAGTTGCCTGCCGAGAAGGAAGATGGACAGTCCACGCACACCACGCCAGTCAAAAAGCTAAATTATGACTAGATTGGGATCACACAAGCCTCGACGTCGTGGATCCATCGATTTCTTGGGACGCACTAAATCAATCAAGCATACGGTGATATATTACCCCGCAAGTTCACCGCCTGTTCTGCGATACCGTGCTGTGTAAACTGTCAAGCGGCTGTTTAGACAGTACCTAAAGCTGTTTCATATGTTGGTGGTCGATTGGATGAACGTGGCAGCTCCCATACATTTGTAGAATACGCTGCCTGTCGGGTGAAACCGCTGCTTGGGAGTCGGGACAAACGTCTGAATTGTCACAAGTCAGCCTTCCATGTAGTAGGTAGTGGTGGACATTGTGGGTGTACAAAGTCACCACCATTCGTCGAATGTTATGCGCCAACTCTAAGATAGCCAAAGTACATGAATAAGTTATGACTTTGATCCAGCATCACGAGAGAAACGAGCCCGGTTTGTGAAAACATTGAAGGGGGAAAAGGAAAACAAGGACTGTCCTATCGCTTGCGATCAGCAATGTAAGGGAAGCTGAAAAACATGCAGACTGACTCCTGAGGAGGATAGCAAGCAGCAAACTCGTAGCATAAAGTCTAAATTCCTCGTATTGAATAGCTTATATTTGAGGGAGAATTTGGCATCATCGGCTCTCTGGGGTTTAGGTGGCGAGGCAGGTTTGTGATGAAGGCCTAAACGACTTGCAGCACAAGAATCTAGCAATCTTGTACAACGGCCGCCGATCTTTCTCTAAGCTTCACGACCCTTTGGAGGCAAACATGAATTACAGATGCTGCCCCGAGCCACCTAGCCCAGACGGGAACCAGGTACCAACCTCGTGAGATCATACTGGCACGTAACATCATCATGTTGAACAGAGCTTTCGTTGAGCAAAGAAAGTGATGAATATTGGGTTTCCTAGATATTGATATGCTACCTATAAAAGACAACGTGAAGTCTTCGTCTCTGTTCATTCCCAGTCATCACTATCACTGTTCACCTTGACGAACATCACCTCTGATCATTTTCCATCTGCCCATACGTCTCACCAATTGGCTCACCAAAGTTTCAGTCTTTCTTTACGCTCAAGATGAAATATATCCAGATTCTAATCCCCTTCCTCGCCACTCCGGCTATCTCTCTTCCAACTGCCCTTCCTTCCGGCACCGGCGATGTAGCCTTGGTGGGAAATATCCAACAGAGCAATAAAGGGCTCGAACAAGTTCAAAACGGTAAAGGGAAGCGGTAGATACCAATTATGTGTCCTAGTTACCGAGGCTGCAATCGCAAAGGCTCAGTTGGCGATTCCACCAACATCGTTCGCGAGATCAAAGTCAACACAATTATCAGCGAGAATTCCGGCGGGACAACCTCAAGTAGCTCACAGATTTAACTCTTCTCATGGCTTTCTGTGTCATGAATAGAAGGATGGGCCTGTTTCTTGCGGCATCGACTGTGCCGAGTATACGAGTCTGAGTCCGAGTACTGTCAAAACACATGGCATCCCAAACACTTCCCACTGAGTTCTCTCGGCGTCGGACTTAAGATGGAAGAGGTCTTCCTTTTCAGGGGAAGCTTATCTCACCGATGAAACGATGGGAGCCTGTCATGCACCCTATCGCATCTCCAAAACCATCCGATCCTTTCGGTACGTGCCTATCACTCGGGCGATGGGGTGGCATTAAGCACAAGTATGCGGGCACAGACCGGGTGGGATCTTGGGCTTGTGCTGAAACTTATCTTCGATTTATCATGTATTCATTATCAATCAGATCCCTAGAACTCTCAACGAGGAATTTGAAGCTATTTCTTTCCAACGCTTGGTACTTCCAGGCTCTCACATACGCATTTGAAAAACACTTGCTTGCGCTACTCTATCCCGATTTCCGCCTGACTATATTCGCCAGAGGCAACAGCTTCTCCGTCCATGATACCACTGACGTACACATCCCCTATAAGCTCATACATACCTCTTCGCGTAGGTCGAATCACGAAGGGAACCTCAGAACCCAGTAGCAGACATACCGAGTCTCCAACCTTTGCCTCTCTAGGCACTAAGCAAAGCCTGCCGGCCGTTGTGCGAGAGAACCTCCGTGGACTAGCGGCAGCTAGGATTGTCATTTCCACTGGCACAGCAGCCGCCACGAAGCTCAATCGTGCCTTGTTCGCCTCTTCGGGGTCTTCCGAGACGAGCCAAGTCTCCATGTTCGTGATCATCGTCTTGACAGACTCTGAGAGGTCCACGTCGATGCGGTCGCTCAGCTGGCTCCTCTCGGATGTCAGAGTCTTCCAGAAATCAGCAAGGCGCTCGGTGGACATGTCTTGAATGCGGTCTGAACCTGACGCAATGCGAACGCAAGATTTGTAGTAGTTGAGTGACCTTAGCGAGTTCCTAGCGTAGTAAACATCCATCTTGTCGAGCGGGTACGGGACGCGCTTAGGTTTCGGCGGGAGCGGTAGCTCGGGCCAGAAGACTCCATCTTCCTGAATGGTATCGACGATCATGCCGGAACACCGTAGTATTTTGTTGTCGATGATTTCGACTCTACCACACTGTGTTCCGCCGGCCGAGAACTTGCCATACCGAACGCTGTAGCTTGGCAAAGCATCTGACTCCTGGTTTCTCAAGTCCGGTACCCAGCTGGGAAGACCTGGCAGCCTTCGCCGCTGCCATCGGTATATAGGTCGGTAATACCAGGAAAGCGCGACGTCGGTAATTAGTCTCTGCGGTGCGGAGGCCAGAACGCCGAGGTTCTTCTTCTCTAGGAGCTGAGATCGGGCAAAGCGCAAGTAACACTCTTGAACCGAGAGAGAGTACAAGTTATCCCGGGATATGATGCTATCTTTCTCAACGTCAGAGGCGTAGCCTAAGACACCCAGAATGTGGTCCCGAGGATCTGTACATTGAAATGCTCTGGTTGCTTTGACACCGTCCATCAGCGTGACAGGTTGCTTGCCTCGATACCATTGGCTCATGCGCATCATGGAGAGGTTGTAAAGACGGATCGGGAGAAAAGTCACGTTGCTGTCGTTCACAGTTCCATCCTTGGGCAGAGCTTGGATACCAAACGTTGACATTCTCAGGGCCAGCTCTGAGAGTGCTTGGAAAGGCATCATGAGCTTCCCGCAGTAGAGCCAAGTGTTGTCGTTGAGGATCGCCTCTTGATAAACCCACTCACTTTCTTTCGAACCAAGTGTGATTGATTCATGAGTGCCCTAAGAGGTCTCCAGTCTAGATTCCAGACGGTAGTCTTGCCCTCTCGGGTTCGTTCTTGGTTGCGACTTGCGAGTGGCAAGGATATCTGCACTTTTCCTGTTCTGTTGAGGATCGTCCACAACTTCAGGAATGATCTCACAGGCCTCTTTGATAATATCCTGGACTCTATCGATCTCGGAATCATCACTTCCGAGCCAAATTTTGACAGATTCCGCATTCGAGTAGATTTCCGATATCCGCCCTATCTGATGTGTTTTCTCAAACGTGTTTCTCTGGTCGATGCAAATAGAGTCGGCCCAGAGCACGACCTCCTCATTAGGGAGGCGCCAGCGCTTCAGTGCTTCGAACAGAGTTCTGGTGATCTGTATCTCCTTTCCTTTGCAGGTGATGTATGCTTTGTCTCGCGCGTCTCCCCAGGCATAGGATACGGCATGGTATTTCACTGGCGCCTTGAGCCACTCATTAGTGAGGTCTATCCGAACGTCGTCACCTTCATGTCCAAGGAGGCAGGTGAATGAGACGAAATTGGCCCTCTTCTAGTGGACCGTGGGCATGTTGAGGCGGAGGTCGGATCCATCGCTGAAGCCGCGACAACAAGCTCGTGTTGTTGTGGCGGAAAAACAAGTGATGTGCGACTGGGGCAGCCAGAATGACCGCAGCGCCGATGGCATAGAGGACCCGCGTATTAACGCCGATATCGTCCATTGATTTTGATGTCATCGACATGAGATGATGGAACCGGCTGGCTGGGCCGCGCTCGCGAGTGCTGTCTGGAGGTTGGTTTATCCCGGTTGACTTGCGGAGACAGGTAAGCAAC